CCCCCCTCTCGTATAACCTTCTCTAATTTCCCCAACCCCTCTCGTCTAACCTTCTCCAATTCCCCCAACCCCTCTCGTCTAACCCTCTCTAATTTCCCCAACCCCTCTCGTCATACCTTTTCCCAATTCCAAAAGGAATATTTCTTTCGTCGTTCTCGAACTCTCCCTTCTGCAGAATTTATCATAATAGTTAATGCAATATATTCAGATCTTAACTGAAATATAGAGTATATATCAAGGAGTAGGGAATAGAACCGGGAGATATAACTGACGAGGTTCGCCCTACCATATGATTATACATGCTTTGCAGACTGTACTTCATTTGTTTAAGAAATATTTAGAATAGGTTATTGTATACGTGGTAATTGTACATCAGACAAATATTTCTTATTCAAATTAAGTACCGTCTGCAAAGCATGTCTAATCATATGGTAGGGCGAACCGCGTCAGTTATATCTCCCTTCTATTCTCTACTCCCTAGTATGATGTACTTGAGTAAAAGTGGAATTAAGCCCGAAATTTAAAAGTGCATCATTGAACAAAACTCCTTAGATTCCTTTCTGGGGTCTTAGCATTTGTGTAGATTTTGATTAAAGAGATTCGAAAAAATAGAGAATATGAATAAACTAAATAAAATAATTTTTCATAACAAAATATTGATATCCACAAAACTGCCTTTCCCCATTCGTGAAACCCGATTTCAAAACTGGTTTTCATAACGATACCCTAGCTGTCTTTAGTTTTGGGCCTGGTAGATGTAGATTTTAAAAACATTTTTCACGCTAGAGAGAGGCGCTAGTTTGTGTTGCATCAGCTGAAACCATTTAAGAAGGAAGAAAGAAATCAAAGAGGGGGTGGGATGATGGGAGGGGGGGGGGAAGTTGTAGATATAAACTCTATATTTCTCTATTTTTAGCGTGAAACTGCTGTTTTAGCATAATTGTTAATTATATATCATAATTTTTTTCTGGATTTTTCGAGACTTTTTCAGCGTTTTTGAAATTTATTTTATAATTTCTAAATTCTGATTTTGCCTGATTAATAAATCTGTCTGGATTGAAGGTGTGCGGATCCTGGTTGAAAAATGGATTCTTTTTAACAAATATTTTGAAAAAGAATTTTACAAATAAACTGAACTGTCGTAGACCTTTGATATTTTAAAATATTAATTCTGTTAGACCAAGCATATAAAGGCTAAGTTTGAAATATCAAAGGTTTTTTACTTCAGTGTTATATTGAAAAGATAGAGAAATTAGAAAATTTGAGTTTATAGGAGATATACAAGAGAAACGAAAAGTGTTATTATGTTTTAGTAAAATTATTTGTCATAAAAAGAGGTTTGTTTTTTGTAAGTATGGCGTAAAAGGGCTGTAGAGTGTATGTGTAAATTCCATGTAACCCATATACAAAATAGCAACATAAATTTTGCTTAGACGAAGGGTACTGATGTGTATCGAACATGTTCATCTACAATGAAGAGTTAATTAAGTCTTGCAGCCAGCTTAAGAGAAATATATGTAATTGAAATTATAGCTTAAGTTGATAGTTTAAAGTTTCAAGGCAACCTGATATATTAGCAATATTGATGCCATCTTGTAAAAGGTCAATGATAGAAATAAATATCTTTAAAATACCATTTGGTTGTTTTGAATCCTTCCTTAAAGTGCTCTGGGTCCATATGTACAGAATAGGTGTTAGTGAGTACAGTTGTACCCTTGCTGTTCAGTGTACAACAATACAATAAGTAAAGCATTTTTCTCAACATAACTGATTCATGAAAAATTTTTGAAGTTAGAAATTTCTGAAAATTTGATCCTAGTGCCAAGGAAATAAACTATTATTTCAAAATATATACAATTAAACCCTAAATGACCCATACATGATACTAAATATCTGCAACATTCCATTATCAGAAAGTGAAGAATACGACATATATGATGAATTCTTTCGATGTATGGTTTATTTAGGGTTTAACTGTATAATAATACAAATTTTGAAAAAATCCCCAAATTTACTTTAAACACGCGGGTTTCTGAGTGAACATTTGACTGAGAGTTTTGAACAAACTCATTAATTGATTTATTGGTAATTTTTTTTATATTTATCATCATTTAATTTCTTTATCTAAAATTGATTTATTGATCATACTTGACTGACTTATCACACGAGAGGAGGAAGGCCCGCCACAACAATTTCTCGTCCGAGCCACATTCTCCTCGTTTTCTAGTCCAAGCCACCTCGGAATCCTTGTCCATCGTTTATTATGTGTTTTTTTTAATCTGGTCACAGCACATAGCATATAATATGGATAGAAACTGGCATAAAATATGAATAGACTAAAGTATTGCAATGATCACATCATGTTGAAATCTTTAGACCCATGAGAATGATGTCAAACTGCATGAAGGTAAAACTTAAATCTCTTCTGCCTCCGTAATGGTTAACCTTCGCGAAATAAAATAAATAGCAAAGTATTCGGCACACTCTATCATGTTCCCCATGAAACCCCGAGAAAAATTTTATGGTTTTCACTATAAATGACCAAAAAAGATTGAAGTTCTATAAACTCGGAATTATTTGAGTATCTCAGGAGTATCTGAAAATGCACGTAAAAGGTGAACATTTTTAAGGACGTTAGATCTGAAAACTTTAATTCAATCGAAACATTTTTTCGATTTACAAAAATTAAATATTTCAGTTATGTCCTAAGGTGATTCTTAAAATATAGTTTCAACTGGGAGGAATAGACACTTTAAAAAATAATGTTGGAAGGACAATGATTTTGAGGTGGCTCGGACGAGAACATTAGGAGAATGCGGCTCGGACTGATTACACTTGATTTCCTGATTGTAAAGTTGACTGATTAATTGTATCCCTAAGAGTATATTGTCCAAGTTGAATGTCCTTGGTTGCCAGATGTGGAGCAACAACAGGCACAACATTGCACTGCAAAAAATTGGCAATTTGCAATTAAATTTGCAATTAAAGGAAATGTAGACGTAGTTTTCAGTTAACAGAGTTGCGGGTTTGATTTACAACACACTGTAATTTGTTACATAAAGCTGTGCCGGGTCGACTCTACACTTGGTAGTCCAGACTGGAAAGTACGACAGAATGCATTATGTACCGGCTAGGATCATCAACTTTTAGAGTGGAGTGCAGCATAATTCCGCAAGTCACTTTTTCAGAGATTTAAAATGATTAATTTTCAAATTTCAGTTCGAAAAATAAGGATATTTCGTTTAACCTTGATCTGACGAAGATTTAAAGGTACCGGTTGGTATTGGATCCGCTACACTCTTAATATAGAGGTTCAGTTCATTATAAATGATGTCTACTGTCTCTTTAAGTTTGCAATTAAGTTTGCAAAATAATCTGACGGATAATAAACTACAGACGGATAATAAACTACAGACGGATAATAAACTACAGACAGATAATAAACTACAGACGGATAATAAACTACAGACGGATAATAAATTACAGACGGATAATAAACTACAGACGGATAATAAACTACAGAGGGATAATAAACTACAGACAGATAATAAACTACAGACGGATAATAAACTACAGCCGGATAGTAAACTACAGACTGATAATAAACTACAGACGGATAATAAACTACAGACGGATAATAAACTACAGACGGATAATAAACTACAGATGGATAATAAACTACAGACGGATAATAAACACAGACGGATTATAAACTACATACGGATAATAAACTACAGACGAATAACAAAATACAGACGGATAATAAACTACAGACTGATAATAACCTACAGACGGATAATAAACTACAGGCGGATAATAAACTACAGACGGATAATAAACTACAGATGGATAATAAACTACAGACGGATAATAAACACAGACGGATTATAAACTACAGACGGATAATAAACTACAGACGAATAACAAAATACAGACTGATAATAAACTACAGATGGATAATAAACTACAGGTGGATAATAATCTGGCAGTTGTAGTTCATACTTCTTGATGTATTTTATAGGATTTAAATTTAGGTTTATCAAGCGGTAATAAAGATTAAACAAAGCTTTTAAAAGGAAACTGGTTTTTTAAAACAATGTGTGTCTATGTCTTCACGTTCACCAGTGTGCAGTGGTTTATAAACGAAAGGAACTCAACTTTTGTCAAGAATCAAATTTTTTAATATTATTACATCTTTGAAAACTGTAAAAACCTGAAATGTTTCGCAGAATTCATAATTTGAAATAAAACAGCAGCTCTTAAAAAATTAAGTTTAAGAAAAGTGTTTAGTTTATAAACAAATTCTGTCCCTAAAAGAGAAGTTTAATATTTAATTCTCTAATTTGGTTTCCAACATGTAGCTGTTCATACTCAATGCTGGTGTTAATATTCTTTTTATTAAAACAAGGCTTCAGAGGAAAGGTCCCTTACAGAATCAAAAGTTAAAATTTTATCCATCTTTGAAACGCATAAAAGATCTAAAATCCTAAATTCCTCTTTCATAGGGACACCCTGTAGTTTATGAGGAAAAAATAAGATTGCCTTTCATCAGTTTTCAAAGAAGATTTCTATACAACTGCTAGGCACTGCAAGCTAAAGAAAAGAAGATTTCTATACAACTGCTAGGCACTGCAAGCTAAAGAAAAGAAGATTTCTATACAACTGCTAGGCACTGCAAGCTAAAGAAAAGTTTTGCCTTTAATGTCGGAAGCAGGGTTAAGAAATCAGATTTAAATTATATTTACAAATCCTACAATATTCCCTTCAAAATATACACTGCTCTCAATTAGGTTTTCCAAATTTTCGATAGATCACTTACGCAAAATTTCGGTGTTTATCTATTTATATCCTTTGTTTGTTTATTTGTCTGTGTATTAAAACGGCTGAGCCGATCGTGCCCAAATTTTGTGTGGGACATCATTCACGTGACCCTAGGGAAAGTTTAATGGCTAATGAAAATTTTAAAAATTTGCCTCCAACAAAATTTTATTTCCATTAAATTTTGAAAACCAACGAATTTCTTTCTTATATTATCAGCAACTTTTTTGGTTTTGTTTTACAATGTATACAAAGAGAAAATGTTTACAATTGAAAAGTGAGATGCATGGCGCGAAAACCTAGTATCTATATGTATACTTTGCTTGTCTGTCTGTTTATTTGTATCCAATAAACGTAAAAACGACTGAACCGATCAAGCTAAACAATTTTGAGGGAACTCACATGACCCCAATGTAAAAAGAGAAGATCCTCACAGATAGAGCCACAATTAAAAAATTACATCTATAGAAGATAGGCGCGATGTGCGCTAAAGTAAAGAATCTTAATAATCTTATTTTGGCGAAATTTCGTTTATTATCAAGTTCTTTTAATCATATTGATTTATATACTTACAAGTCTGAACACTTCGTTTATAGTTGCTTCAGTGTAGGGTAGGTGGATCTTATCCTCCATGGTTACCACCTTTCTTCCTAGTAAACAGTTTGCTTTTATTTATAGATTTTAAAGGGTGTATTTTTAATTTCATTTTCAGAAAGGGGGATTTTATAAAAAATAAGATTTTTTTTTTGTATTATACAGGGTGTAGTTGTTTTTAATTTTTATACAGGGTGGTTTTTATCTCAAATATTTTAGCTTTACTTTTTATAGTATTTCAGAAATACCCCAAAATTATCTTTTTTTTTTAAATGTCAGTTTATGTGAGTTAAATGTATTATGACTAAAAAAGACCTGAGGTAGGAACTCAAGATCAATGCGTGATCTCTATCTTTTGTTAATCCACAGATTAGTTTAATCTTTATTCAATATCCCCTGAATTGTCAATCAGATAGCCCGTGAAAAAAATTCAAAATTGGCCACTGTGAATATTAAGATAAAGACGATCAAGATCAAACGATTGGGATTATGAGTGATCCAATTCAAAAGTTCCCAGCTCAGGTGATCATTATTTGAACCTTGTAGGTGTAGATCTAATTCTGCCTGTATTCTAGACTGTATATCAGGGTTCCTAAAATATTGTTACCATTTAAAAGTGTTATGAAATAAAGGAAATCTAAAGCCTGAAACTGATCTGAGTAAATCTACAGAGTATTGGAAAAAATGTATTTATAAGTAAAAAAGAACAAATAAAATGATACTAATGAATCATGGAAACCCGGCGCTCTCTGGCAGACTCTCCGCCTTTCATTCGCCTCGTACGACGAGTTAATCTTCTAACCCTTCGTGATAGCTAACTTCCATCTCGGTTTTAGCCCAGGCCGATCATATTTCCTCCTCCCTTGTGTCAAGCTGTGTTTCAAGCCTATTGTCTTGAATTTAAAATAGAATTCCTGGGTCAACTGTGGGTTTGGTTTTCTGGGTCCGTATGGAACTATCCATTCTGAGTTCGTACCCAAGAAAAAGTTTTACCGACTTTATGTGCTGATGGCGGAGTTGTTGGGTAAATAATTCTGGACTTTATATGTTCGCCATCGGTTTGTTGGAGACTTAATGTTTGCAGGGTCATGAGAACCGTAGGGGTTACATCAATGGAATTTTCCCTATTCCGAGCTATTGAGCTCACACTGGTTACAATACAAACTATTTTAAACAAAAAAGAAAAAAGAATTGTTTTAACTCGAAGAAAATTACATGATACTCAAATTTTTGGAATTAGGAAGATTTAAAAAGTCAAGTGTGATGAAATTATATCATGAGATTCTATCAAAGTTTTATGAGATTCTAACAAAGTCTTTCAAGAAATTCATTCAAAGATTTATGAGAAACTGAATACTCTTGCCACTAATTCCAATTTTCTGATTCATAAATCTTTGAAATCTGAAGATCTTTGATTTTTCAAACTTTGAATTATGTCAAATCAAAAATTTAATTTTTAAAATATTTTTAAAATTTAGGGGTCCATATAATTCTTTTTCTGATCCCAAATGGGATGGGGGTTGAAAGTACATTTAGGGTCATGAAAATACACTCTCTTTGTCATGAAAATACACTTTCTCTGTCATGAAAATACACTCTCTGTGTCATGAAAATACACTTTCTTTGTCATGAAAATACACTCTCTGTGTCATGAAAATACACTCTCTGTGTCATGAAAATACACTCTCTTTGTCATGAAAATACACTCTCTGTGTCATGAAAATACACTCTCTGTGTCATGAAAATACACTTTCTTTGTCATGAAAATACACTCTCTGTGTCATGAAAATACACTCTCTGTGTCATGAAAATACACTCTCTTTGTCATGAAAATACACTCTCTGTGTCATGAAAATACACTTTCTCTGTGTCATGAAAATACACTTTCTCTGTGTCATGAAAATACACTTTCTCTGTGTCATGAAAATACACTTTCTCTTTGTCATGAAAATACACTTTCTCTGTCATTGTGAACTTTACCACTTAAGTTATTGTGTACGTGTACTAAACTTCATTTGGGGCAAGGTACTAATGCAAGGAAAGTTATTTCAGAAGTGTACGCATTTTTTGTACTGAAGTGTACTGTCTTTGGGCGGAAAAGTAAACACAAGACGAATGTCAGAGCCTGACATGGAATCCATTTTCACAAAAATAATCTATGAAATATTCTGGTCATTGGAAACTATTATGTGAACTATCAAAATTATCAAAATAATATGCTTAAAACCTCCTCGGATACTAGACGAACACTGATGCATCTATTCTTGTTTACAAATTCCGCCCAGAGAGAACTGGTTTCAATATGTACGCAGAGTATACACGACCGCAATTAACTTTCCATGCAATAGTACCTTGATTTGGGGTGTTAAAAGATGTAAATATCAGTAATTAATGTAAGAGATAAGTATGACATACAGAAAATTGAACACTCCCTTGCAGTAAATATTCTGCAGTATGGAATTTTTCTGCAACTTTACATCATTCTTCCAACTATTTACAATAATAACATGGTTAATATCTGCCCTTTATATCAATCAATCAACATTTGGGATCGTATTAGATGGAATTATATGGAACCATGGTAGAACTACAGTGTAGGTTTTCTATAAAACAAACCTAATCATGAGTGCAATACCAAACATAAGACCCTTGCTTGAAGTTTCCGATCCTTAATCAAACCAAATAAGATTAAATTATTAAGAATGATTTGTTTTGACATGATTAGAATATATTAATATTAATATTAATAAGAAATTTCTTCGATAAGTCTGGTTAAAGTAAAATTCTTTAAAACACAGATATTTGAATAATTTTGGTTATTCAATTTTGAGTTGCAATTTATCAATTTTGATTTTTTTAAGATAACTCTTGCAATAATGTCATTGCGCCAATAAAATAATGTGCTTGTGAAAAAAATGATTTGTTAGATTATGTTCCTGCTGTAAAAAGATCCAGGCAGCAAATAACCAGCTCTTCCATTATAAAGTGTTCCTGTGTTCCCAGCTCATTTAGAAACACATCAATATAATCCTGAAACACACCCCTATTTCATTTACACACGGAACGTCAATATTTGTTTGCAACATAATTAATATCTTGAAAGAAACACTCGGATTAATTGGAGTAATTGATACACTTGAAACGGAATCCTAATTTACCTTGATGTCGTCTTTATCGAATTGTTTAACATGATCGTCTATAGATTCCTGGATAAAATCTCGAAGCTCCTTTATTCCTAAACATTATTATTAGTAATTATACATGTATTGGGCTTGCTGTTGGTATCTTATAAACGGCTAAACAGATAAAGACCATTTTTGTGTTGTAATTTAAAAGACTACGTTTGTCCTTTTACCTGGCTTTAGTTTTTGAATATTTGAAATATTCAAAACTATCTATTATCTTATTCTCGATAAATCTTGTTAACCCTATTCCTTCTTGGGGAGGGGGGTAAATTTGACCCCCCCTGTAGTTTTTTTACATAACTCAAAAAGTATTGGTCTGAGGCTGTTGAAATTTTCTGACTTTTTCTACATACCCAAAGCCCTTCCTTTAGGCCTAAAACCGGGCTTTAATACTAACTGCCTGAGTCCTCAGGCACACTGCCTGAATGACTGCTTTTTCCTGTAACAAACTAAATCTTTGTTACCCCCAGCATATCCTGGTTTTCAAGTACCCCAGCAGGGATAGGGTTAAAAGAGTTCCCAAGAAAAATGTGGTCCAGAAAACATCCCAAAAAAAAGTTGTTTTACACAATTCTATCGTCTTTTGAGATGAAAATGCGCGATTCTTTTTACAAAAACTTCGCAAAGCGGATTCTTATTTTACTTGATCGTCCTCAGTCTTACCAGGGACGTTAAGTTACTTAACTTGGGGGAAATCTTTGGTCGAAAGTGTTGGTCAAAAAAGTCATAAATATTTCTATAATTATTGTTGGTTGAATTTAAATAAATATAAATTACAAAATTATAGTTACCATTGTAGCAATTATTGAAGGTTTGCCTGAAGGGAGGGAAAAACCTAAAAAACGATGAATTTAAAAATAAATGATTGAAGAAGATATAAAATAACATTATCCAAAATGTTGACAGAAAAAAGTTGCATTTAATCTTTTTAAAATAAATGATTGAAGAAGATAAAAAATAACATTATCCAAAATGTTGACAAAAAAAGTTGAATTCAATCTTTTTAAATTAGCTTTCTATTTTATATTTTGAGCTGTAAAAAGAACTCCCGGCGTTTTGTACCCATGTAAAAAATGACTTATCTAACACCAAGGTACTAATGCAAGGAAAGTTATTTCAATGGTGTATGCATATTTTGCACTGCAATGTACTGGCTTTGGGCAGAAAAGTAAACACAAGACGGATGTCACAGCCTGACTTGGAATCCATTTTCACAAAAATAATCTACGAAATATTCTGGTCATAGGAAACTATTATGTGAAGTATCAAAATTAAATACTTTGATCCTCCTCGGATACTAGACGAACACTGATGCATCTATTCTTGTTTACAAATTCCGCCCAAAGAGAACTGGTTTCAATATGTACGCAGAGTATACACAACCCAAATTAACTTTCCTTGCATTGGTACCTTGTCTAAAACTAACAAACTGATATGGTTTGAAGATCTTCATAGAAATCTGTGAGAGAAGACTCACACTGATTTCTAGTAAAATTTTTTTAACAAATTTAATTTTCGATATTTCTCCGTCATTTACCTCAAAAAGGGAAGTATTCCTAACGGTTTTCCCATAACATGAGTTCCTAAGGAAACCTTGGCTTGCATAGGGACAGGGGGGGGAGGGGGGGAGGGGGGGGGGTGGATTAAAAAGAATGTTTTGGATGTTTCAAAATTGTATTACATATTTTTGTGCGTAATTTTTTGTGAAATTTTTGAATTTTGAAGTTCTGAGTTGAGATTTTATGAATAAATAAAGCCCAACGGCTGAGTTGAGATTTTATGAATAAATAAAGCCCAACGGTAGTTTAACTAGGTACGGCTGGTTCATCTGAGAAGGAGTGTAACCATCCGTACTTTGCTCAAATTTTAATCTTCTCAATCATAGCTAGCTCTACATTTTAATCGTTAGGCTTTATTTTAAGAAAATTAATTAGTTTTGATCCATATTACAGATAAAAAAGTTGTAACAAAGAAATTAAGGCTTTGTCACAACCTCAAATTTTCGATTTCTTTTATCTTTGCAACCTGATGCTGTAAACCTTTAATGTTTCAAACTCAGATTATTGGATCAAACTGAATTCATGGTTTAAAATATTGAAGTTTTAAGACATTGGGCTGCCAAGATATAGGGCTTTGTGGCAAGAACTTAATTGCTTTATGTCTTAGCAATTCATGGAGTCTCCGTGCATGCCCTTCCCTATAGTCATAAATGTGTCCAGCACTTTGAGCAGCTGAAATAATTTGAAATAAATAATCTATCATTAAAATTATTCATAAGATTAATTACAAAATGAATTAGAGAAATTACTACAAAGAGTAGATACACAATATTATCTACTAGAAGGCTTTAAGTCTTTTCGAGCAATATGTGAAATCTTTATAAGGATTTCACAGTATACACCGGTGTACACTCCAGTTTTAAGGGCTCACAGTGTACAACGGTGTACATTCCAATTTCAAAGGTTCACAGTGTCACCGGTGTACACTACAGTTTTAAGGGTTTACAGTGTACACCGGTGTACACTCCAGTTTTAAGGGCTCACAGTGTACAACGGTGTACATTCCAATTTTAAAGGTTCACAGTGTACACCGGTGTACACTCCAGTTTTAAGGGTTTACAGTGTACACCGGTGTACACTCCAGTTTTAAGGGTTCACAGTGTACACCGGTGTACACTCCAGTTTTAAGGGTTCACAGTGTACACTGGTGTACACTCCAGTTTTAAGGGTTCACAGTGTACACCGGTGTACACTCCAGTTTTAAGGGTTCACAGTGTACACTGGTGTACACTCCAGTTTTATGGGTTCACAGTGTACACCGGTGTACACTCCAGTTTTAAGGATTCACAGTGTACACCGGTGTACACTCCAATTTTTAAGGATTCACAGTGTACACCGGTGTACACTCCAGTTTTAAGGATTCACAGTGTACATCGGTGTACACTCCAGTTTTAAGGATTCACAGTGTACACCGGTGTACACTCCAGTTTTAAGGGGGAAAACACAGATTTTATAAACGTCGATGATCAGACAAAGAAGTGGACAATCGAACATATCAATCACTTCAAAAATAAATTTTCTTTCATAATCGTTAATCATATGGACCATTGAAATACATTATTGGCAGCAAACCTTTTTTTGTTTTTGTTTTAAAAGAGATAGTTTTATAATTTTTTATGAGATATAGAAATGGTGGTCAGAACGTCTAGAAATCTATATCTGAGTAATAAGTTGAAATTAAAGTTTTTTTTTTTTTAAGATTTATTTGGTACATCACATCTTAACACTTAATAATATAATGTTAAGATTTAACATTGTATAAAAAAATGTTAAGATGTAACATTATATTATATAATTTTAAGATGTGATGTGTTAAAAAAATTATATTTGATTTGAAAAAAAGCTTCAATTTTAACTTTTTACTTACAAATTATAAAAAAAGACCTATTTTAAAACTGAAAAAATATAGAAATTATTAAAAAATTAATGCTTACCTTATGCATTCTATGATCATCATATTCATATCTTTGATTAGATACAAACTTCCAAACAATATTTAACGCAGCTTTATTAAACAGCAGGTCTATATTGACTAAAAAATATAAATTCGTTTTTTTACAATAAATTAAATAGACTATCTTGTATTTTCATCGAAATTAATAAGTTATCTTGTTATTTCTAAAAATTATATAAATTTAATCCAGAATTTCGGAGGTTTTGATAGAATTTATAAAATGTCGTCTTGACAACTTTTCAATGGGTGTTATAATATTATTATGCCTAAATCTCAGTAATTGTAAAAATAAATAAATATCTTGTCTTCTTATTCAAAATTGAATAGAAGTTAAAAAAAAATATAGAATAAGCCTTTTTTATCATTATTTAATGGATTATCCCTTGATACTGCGAATATGTCCCTTTAATACCACAATGTCCCTGAATATCATAATATGTTCTTTCAATATCACAATATGTCCGTTTGATATCACAATATATCCCTTTAATACCACAATGCCCCTTTACTATCATAATATGTCCCTTTAATATCATAATATGTCCCTTTAATATCATAATATGTCCCTTTAATATCACAATATGTCCGTTTGATATCACAATATATCCCTTTAATACCACAATGCCCTTTAATATCATAATATGTCCCTTTAATATCATAATATGTCCCTTTAATACCACAATGTCCCTTTAATATCATAATATGTCCCTTTAATATCACAATATATCATTTAATATCACAAAATGTCCTATAATACCATAATATGTTACTGCTTACCTACTCCATCCTTCAACTTTGCTTGTCCTCTGATCTCAGAAACTGTTGAAGTTATGTAATATTATTTGATAAAACCTTCAATGGAAAGCAACATTTTGTTTCTTCCGATTGTAGGCTCAATGTTGGTATAATTTCTGGAATTTAAAACCTTTTCGACAAAGAAAACATATCTATTTCAGGATCCCCGGACCATGAAAACCCCAAGTGGGGAAACAGCACCCAAACATTTATTTTTGATATTTTCAAAATAACTGGTATTAGAAATAGTCTACCCCCATTTTTATATTAATTGGTTCAGAATTCTGTCTGATATTTCTGGTTTGTTGCAAGGAAGTTTGGCTTATTTGATGTTTCTAAATTTAATTTTCTGGCATTTGATATTTGCCGCTGTGATAACCAGAAAACTCTGAAATAGGGAGAAGACTTTACAGAGAAATTTTATCCTGCATTATTATTCACAATTTTAATGTTTTTTTTATTTTATCCAAGACAACATTAGGGATTAAAAACATATCGTCCCGCAGGATTTCTAGCAAACAAAAAAAGGGAAATTTTCGCGAAACAAAAAAATGTGAAATTTCTCAACAAAACCGAAAATTTTCGCAAATATTTTTTGCGCAAAAGTTAAAAACGAAATTTCGCAAAAAATGAACATTTTTACATTTATTTTCAACGAACGGAATGCGAATAAATTAAAAATTTTCGTTGGGATTTTTTTCTTTTTTCTTTCTCTAAACGATTTCCCCATTTCGCTGAACACCTGATAACACGTCACAAGGCAGTTTCATAAAATGATATTATCTCCCTAGAGCATTAGTTTCCACTAGAACAGTGTCTTCAGAGGCAGATTTGTTGAACCCTAATAAATAAATTATCACTAAAACAATGTTAATTTTTTTTTTTTTAAAAGCTGTTTTTTGGTATTTTCATGGAGTCCTGCTAATCTTACAACTTTTCCAAGGATTTGAACAATACTGTAGAATGAGAACTGACAGTCATGGGTTTGTTCTAAGATTGTTCAAACACGTAGGTTTAAATAAATAATAATTCCCAGGTTTCAATTACTTCTTTTATTAATGCAGATCCATATTATAACCATATCTTTAAAATTGAATGTGATTTACTCACCAAAAACTTAGAATAAATGAAAATTTCAACCCATGAGGGATTTAATTAAAAACCTGAGGGCATATTGAATGATACAGGGTGTCACAATAAACATAGGAATTAAGTGACGACTTTTATATCGTCTTCGATCCATGCGGCATTTTTTTATGTATTCCAGTTTAACCATCTTATATCGAAAACGCTTGGTCTTAAGATTTTCAAAATAAAGTTATCATTTTTGTATATTCAAAATTGACGGAGATATTGCAAAATTTGAACAAATTTAAATTTATTTAATGAATTAAAATTGTCTTAAAATCTTTTTAAGACATGAGAAAGGTAGACCACTTTATGAAAAGCTCATAAGACATACAGCCTCGTTCTTTGCCATGCAGCCTTTCTCAAAATATCAGAAATAAAAGAAGACGACTTTCAAGTCTTCTCTCAATTTCTATGTTTATTGGAATAAAACACGACCAACGGGGATACTAAATATTCATTCCCAGTTTAAAAAACAAAAAAAATAAAATTTTCTGCACGAGTATAGATAAAATTAGTGTTCACGCATATTCCAGTTTGTCGGATAAAAACTGTTATGTTTATTGTTTAGTGTATCAAAACTTATGTAACCTATAGACATTTTTAAATCTATCTATATATATATAAATTTGTAATCTCTGTTTGGGTACTTGCTTGTTTGTTTGTCCAATCATAACTCATGACCCGGCCCCCTTGACCAATTTGCCTCAAATTTTAATTGGGTAACTTGTTAAAATGTTCTAAGCTTGGTTTGAAGAATTCTAAATTGAGTATATGGTTGACTTTTTTAAGGGAAAACTTAAAGTTTCCATGGAAAGCTAATAGTAATAAATAAAACACTTTATAATTATTTATATTATATCTAATATATTTTTGAGATTATAACTTAAAAAACCATTCTCAGTTTTTCCAAATTGCAAATTCCATGTTCATTGGTGAACACAGAATACGATTGTCAGTATATTGTAAACATAATTTTTTGTTATTTTTTATTATAAAACTAAAAACCAATTTCTCACCCAGATCCTTCAATGATTTGATCGTAAACCGACGCAGATCTTTCCAAGCTTGTCCAGAGTTAAACAGAATACCTATAATGTATAAAAGGTCTGCAGACGTAATTTCAAGTGACCCTCCATTGCAAGAGTGGCATATCCGATAATAGAAATCAAACACTTTTTAAGCTAAGAAAACGGCCGGAATATTCCACATTTTTGATCAGATTAAGGTTTCAAAGGTACCTTTGTTAATCGGGCACTACTCTCTTTAAATGGAGGAGATGTATGATAATAACCAAAAAACATAATTTTCATTATTCATTACTTTTGAAAAATGAAAGTTTTTAAAAAATTCTAAAATTTTGCCATAATAAATAGCAGGGCATAAAATCCGTAACATAATTTTCTAAACTAAACGATTTCTGATCACCAATGCAATATATATAATATACAAGGTGTCCCATGAAAGTTGGTGAACAGTTTTTAATGTCTTCTTCCATATAATCTGTAAGATATTAAAGACTTTTTGAAGTTAATTTCGGTAAAAAAAATCTTTTACTCATAAATATTTTATGTTCAACTCAATTTTACTATTATATGTAATATTTTTTTATTAGCTCTTTGGTATCTTAAACAACTTTACACATTATTGAAGAAAACAATTTAAACTAATCACCAACTGTCATGTTTCCTGGGACATGTATACTACATATAATGCATATATATTCATGAATTCAAATACCTCTTGTAGCATGGCTCCCAACAAAGATCAAGTTTGGAATAACTGCAAAAAAAGGTTGTAAGAAAAAATATTTTTTTTCATAAAAAAAATACGAAAACTTTACTTAGTGGCGCCCTGGAGTCAGCATGTTCCGAGGAGTGCACCAGTTTAATTTCTTGAAAACCCGCCAAAATTACCATTTTCTGAACTACCAAATCTAAACTAAATAAATAAGATTAAATCAACGTAATTAGATATAATGGTGTGGGGGGGGGCTATATTGGCTTACATTTTACTGTGACGTAACATATTTATATGTAGGGCTGGGCGTCATTCCTGGGGAATGATTGTTCTTTCACAAGAACTAACGGAATCATCAAGAATGATCCCATTGTTCCGAAAAAAGAACGAACTGTTAGAACGCGTTCTTAAAAATTTTGAAACGATTAGTAAAGGAACGGAACCGATTGGGCTGCAATTTTTTGTAAAAATCAGGGGTGTTATAGGCTAAAAGAATTCGATTTTTTTTCTAAATAATTGTTTTCAACTTTTTTCCACGGGCAACGCCGGGCTGTTCAGCTAGTAAAAAATATGGTGAAACATAATAAACTTCTTTTCCTATTATCCTATATAAATATGTAGCTCTGATGGTATGGACATGCCACTTTTATGACATCGGAAAAGGTCATAAAGACGTAAAAGGTTAGGTAGAATTTTTATCCCTGGCTAGGCAGGTATTTATTTCTGAAGGGTACAATACAGGTTGCTTCAGAAATATTAAGATCTCTTCTGCATATGCACAGTCCAAACAAAAACTGGACTTTTTAAGCCAAAAGAATGTCTAAAACTGATCCAGTCAACATCGCTCAAGGTTGGCAATAAATCAGAAATATCCGCGAATTTATTGACAATTAATCAGACGACTTTACAATCTAATTTTACAAATATGATTGATGAAACTATAATCACAAAATAGCTCTAGTCCTGCCATTTCCAAATTGTGGTCTGCCGTTTTTGAATATTCAAAATTGCTAGAGATGTATATGTAAAGTCGCCTAAATAACTGTCAATTAATTTCGGGTCTTTTGTAAAAGCGCTGTATAATCTTAAATAAAGACGACATTTATCTTACCTTAGAATATTACCCCATTTCATTGACAGCTGATGGAAACCAAGAAAAGCTACTTTTCCCATTTGCATACTTCCCATTTCCCGTCCACAGGCCAAAGCACCCTGTACATTCCCGTGTACAGGGTAATATTAAAAAGTGAAACAGATAAAGGGAGACTAAGGAAGAAATATCAACTGAGCTGAAAACAGGGGCGGATACAAGGGGGGGGGCGGGGGGACATTCGCCCCCCCCTGAGATTTCGAGGCAAAAAATGTTCCCAATTAGATAAATGTTATTGTTATCGATAAATTTAGAATTAGAAATTTGTAAGTTAAGTTATAATATTGTATCTAGTGATGTTCCTTAATCAATACTCATTTATCAAAATTGTAATATTGTTCCTAATTTTCATGCATTTAAGTATAACTAGTAATTTCTTTTTGTTCTTAAATTGCTAATGTTCCTATTATTGTTCCTGTTCCTGTGTCCGACCCACCTTAAATCCCTGTCCTAATCCTATATTTTTGTTCCTAATTCCTGAACAATCTTTTAATTGTTCTTAAATTCCTGTCCTAATCCTTTATTTTTGTTCCTAATTCCTGAACAATCTTTTAATTGTTCCTAAATTCCTGTCCTAATCCTTTATTTTTGTTCCTAATTCCTGAACAATCTTTTTATTGTTCCTAAATCCCTGTCCGAATCCTTTAATTTTGTTCCTAATTCCTGAACAATCTTTTAATTGTTCCTAAATTCCTGTTCTAATCCTTTAATTTTGTTCCTACAGTTTAAAAATCTAGTTTTTTAGTCTTTAGTCATCAATTTTGACTCTTTTTGAGTCTTTTTGTTCCTAATTATTCATTTTTTGTTCCTAAAAATCTTGCCCCCCCCCCTCACTTAAATCCTGTATCCGCCCCTGGCTGAAAACTTTATAATGATGGATATCAAGATTAATGCTTTAACTCCTGGTTTTACTAAACCTAAGATTATTTTAGTACGCATTCGATATCCAAGAAAGAAGTTAAAAATTTAACCAATCAGCGTGTCATGTTAAGATGTACTCTGTGTCTTTTGAAAAACCGGTTTTGATTACTGGTGTTGATGGTGTCATATCCATTGAACTAAACATCGATTGAACGAACGTAAGTTTTGGATTAATGTTTATTAAAACAAACGTTCAAAATGACAACAGTCCTAAAATATGTTTCTTAATAATTTGATATTAACATGATTTTAATTATATTTGTTTAAATGCTCTAAAGGCCGGCTTGTGAACAGCTGACTTTAATTCAATCGGATATTAGTTCAATCGATATACCATTGTATTTGTAATTGTTATCAAACGTAACTTTCATACAGTAGAAATATCCAAAAAGAGGATTATAAGAAGAAAATCAAAAGTGTGTCCATTGGATACTCAGCTTAAGCGATCGTGATTAAGGAGATCTCATTCTAAAGTTTTCAGCTCTGATCAAAATTTAACAATGAGAAACTTTTCCTTAATTGTCTCTTCTCCATTGACTTCATTCTTAAGGATTACTTTTGTAGAGGAATTCCAATTAATATCAATTAATATCAATTAATAAAAAAGCAAGCAAATATATCAATTTACTGTAATATTAAAGAATTAATTGACTTAATGATAAGGATGTAAAAATTTATGATTTCTGTAAAAAATAATTAATTTACAATTTACAATATTTTTAAAGATAAGATTTATGTTCAAAAACCAACATTTTTTTCTTGACTTTTTAATAAAGTTCCTTAGGACCAGGCATTCTTGGACCAACAACTAAAAAAACAAATTTAAAAAGAAATCAAATTTGTTTCTTATTGTTTACCTTTTGGTTTTTTAAGGTAAAAAAAAGCGAGAATGCAAAGCAGAGTTGTAAATAAAATCCAACTTAACATTTTCAGGTCTAAATACAGTGAACATATATATTTATTAAGTTTTATATTCTATTCAATATCTAAAACGGGAGTGATGAAAAATTCGATTTCAAAGAAACAAGGTTTGGTCCATCACCATCACTGAATTTTAAATCAAAGAAACAATTTTGGGAAATTTACGCAAAACTCCGTAAAGAGACGAATGTAACCGTTATTTTTTAAGAAAAACCCGTTTATTTATAAGAAAAAAAAATCACCAATCAAACAAAGAAATATATTTTTTTTAAACTATAAGACTTTTATGAACGTAAAGTTTTGGTTCTGAATGGAAAAAGTTGTTCAGCCCATTAATGAATGGATTAAAAAACAAGAAACGTGCTCAGTCCTAATTACCAGGTTGATTCAAACTCTTTGATGCAATCTGTACATAGGAAGCAGACTACTTTTACAACAAAAGGACCTGCCGCAGTGCCGGTACTAGTAAATGCACGTACAGGACCTGCCGGTAAATACTCGTACAGAATCGGATCATGAGACTAAAATATAAATATAAGAATTGAATGCAATATTCACAATGATCACCTTTCACAGAATTTCCGTGCATAATAGATATATTGATATTGTAGCGCTTTGTGTAGAGTGTGATACAATTAAAACCTTAATCTGAATCTCATCTTAAATTGTGTTGAATATATTGGGTCAATTTCATTGACTCCGCAAGTAACTTATTCAGAGAACCCCCAAATTCAAAATAATCAATTATTCAACTAGAAAAACAAGAATATCTTCAACATGTTTGCTCAAAATAATTAGGTTTGATGGGTACCGATGCAAACGTGTTACATGGGGTGTCACCGTCCCCATTTAAAGGTCTATTTTAATGTCAGCGCATCTACAGGGTGTCCCAATAAACATGGGAATTCAGTGATGACTTTTTTATCGTCTTTGATCCATGCGGCAATTTTTCATGAACACAATTATTGCAGTATTCCAGCTTAAACATCTAATATTGAAAACGCCTGGTCTTGACATTTTTAAAATGTGGTCTACCATTTGTGTATCTTCAAAATTGACGGAGATATTGCGATTTTGGACAAATTTCAATTTATTTAATAAATCAAAATAGTCTTAATATCTAATATCTTAGTCTTTTTAAGTTACAAGAAAGGTAGACCACGTACTTTATGAAAAGCTCGTCAGACATACAGCCTTGTTTTTTTTTTACTTTCTCTGCCATGCATTAAGTATCAGAAATCAAAGACGACTTTCAAGTCGTCTCTCAATTCCCATGTTTATTGGGACACCCTGTATTAAACGTTCTAAGATATGTATTTTAATACACTGTCTGAACTAACTCATAACTGTAGAAGCGCTTTTTAACTACTGATGCCTTTTTCATACCGTCGAAGCGGAGTTGAAATCTTACGTTACAATTGTGTTCAAATATAGAAAGAACCGTAAACCAGTATATAGGGGAATTAATGACCTTGAACCCCAAAACTCCTCAGACGTACTTAAAACAGTTTTATATATATATATATATAAATAATAAAATATATATACTATAAAAATACTTTCAAAATATATATCAAATAAATGCATTTTTATTGGAATTAGAATTGTTGATGTGTTCTTTATTATTTCGTGATTATTTTTTTTTAAAACGAGTTTTCATAATTAAATATTTATTAAAGAAAATACTCAAAGGAAGAAACTTCAGACGATTTCTAGTTTTAAATTCCCCCTTCTTTTAATGCTGTCTTTTGTGGGTTTTCAGTTTATCCACGGACTTTAGATTGAACCCTAAATTTTGCAATTATTTTTTTGGTGAAAATACTGTAATTTATACGTTTTTATTGTACGCTGGATTTCCAACTTTTATCCCAACGTCTTTACACCCCCCCCCCTCAAAAAAGAAAAATTACAAAAGAGCATCTATCTGTGTGTTTTCAAAATTAGAGTTGATAATAAACTGATATCATAATAAAGATAAACTTGTCAATTCTTTTTATTTATTTATTGTATAGACAATTTCTGTTAATGTGCTATGTTAGTTATGCATTAATAGGACAGGGTGTCTAAATAAACATGGAAATTGAGCGACGAGTATGATATCGTCTAATTGTAAATGATTTTTTGATTACTTACCAGGAAATCTATGATACTTTGATGTTTCGTCTGCTAAAGTTAAAGTTTATTCATGTCTTCTTCACTGTTTATCTTGCAGAAATGTGATAAAGACATCAGACAACATTTTGAAGAATAACAAAACAGTCTTTTACCGTTCACAGAATATTCTCTAGATCTATTTTGACCATTGAAATTCTAATTCTTAACAATGGCGATACCATATTTGGCTCTTAATTCCTGTGTTCATCTAGACACCCTGTAATTACATTTTGAAGTTATATAAGTTTTGTATTCAACGCTTGAAACTATAACACGGGATCATTCAGAAATCTGAAATCTGTCTAAACCGTGTTTTAAATTTTTTTTTATGCATAACCCATTATATTGCATTTTTTAAATTCTAAAATCTTATATATAATTGACCTTAAAATATGATAGATAAGAATATTTATATAAGCAAATTAAGTGTTTTTTTTCTGTTAGCGTGTCGGAATTTTTTAAATGCTCAGACTGCATGATATCTTAATTAACATACTTTCCTGAAAGTATATTTAGTATATTTCTTAAGTATAACATACCCTTTAAGGATATCGTTGTAAAAAAACTTCATGATATTTTCTTATTATTCCAGTGTATCAACATGTGCTTGAGTCTCACGTTTTTGGCATATGTCCCACCATGTACTTGTGTCCCACCATGTACTTGTGTCCCACCATGTACATATGTCCCACCATGTACCTGTGTCCCACCATGTACATATGTCCCACCATGTACATATGTCCCACCATTTACCTGTGTCCCACCATGTACTTGTGTCCCACCATGTACCTGTGTCCCACCATGTACCTGTGTCCCTCCATGTACCTGTGTCCCTCCATGTACCTGTGTCCCCCAATGTACCTGTGTCCCACCATGTACCAGTGTCCCACCATGTACCTGTGTCCCACATGTACCTGTGTCCCACCATATACATATGTCCAATCATGTGCCTGTGTATCACCATGTGCTAGTGTCTCATTTTGTGCCTGTTTATCACCATGTGCCTGTGTATCACCATGTGCTAGTGTCTCACTGTGTGCATGGGTATCACCATGTGCCTGTGTATCACCACGTGCCTCTGTATCACTATGTGCATGTGTATCATCATGTGCCTTTATATGAAGATGTGCCAGTGTATCACCATGTACCTGTAAAACACCATGTGCCTGTGTATCACCATGTGCCTGTGTATCACCACGTGCCTCTGTATCACTGTGTACATGTGTATCATCATGTGCCTTAATATTAAGATGTGCCAGTGTATCACCATGTACCTGTAAAACACCATGTGCCTGTGTATCACCATGTGCCTGTGTATCACCATGTGCCTGTGTATCGCCACGTGCCTGTTTATCACCATGTGCCTGTGTATCACCATGTGCCTGTGTATCACCACGTGCCTCTGTATCACTATGTGCATGTGTATCATCATGTGCCTTTATATTAACATGTGCCAGTGCATCACCATGTACCTGTAAAACACCATGTGCCTGTGTATCACCACGTGCCTGTTAATCACCATGTGCCTGTGTTTCACCATGTGCCTGTGTATCACCATGTGCCTGTGTATCACCATGTGCCTGTGTATCACCATGTGCCTGTGTATCAACATTTGCCTGTGTATCACCATGTGCCTCTTTATCACCATGTGCCTGTGTATCACCGTGTGCCTGTTTCAAAGGGTCAAATTTAGTATTTTTATGAAAAGAAGTGACCACAGATGCAAGCCGTAGACTTTAAAGCTTTCATGCAATAAAAATTTTTTCAATTATTTCTTTAAATTAAGAATTGAGACAAATGTTTAAAGCTCTAGTATACATGCTAGTATAGTATAGTGAGGTAAATTCAAAAGCAAGGGAGGGCGTTGTGTCACTTTACAGTCGACCCGATCTGGAAAATGATGGATTTTTCATAGCAGTCTGGACCTAGGGATGTTGATGTTTTCATTTTTTTTAAAAACGATCGTTTCGTTATGAAAACGATGACGAAAAATCAAAAACAAAACGATCGTTTTTAAAAACGATCGTTTTTTTTAAAAGTTCATTTTTTAAAAATGGTCATTTTTAAAACGATCGTTTTTTAAAAATTCGTCGTTTCGTTAACATTCAATCACATTCAATCAACCTTGCAATAATTTCAGGGGACTTTTCACTACTCAGTTCTTTGAAAGTAATACAGAAATTATACTGAGTTATATATCATAATAAACAGCAAAATTGAGGAAGGATTAAGAAACTAATACTTGTTTTTTTCATGTCTTAAAAAGAGGATTGTTTCGTTTTTAAGATTTTTTTAGTTGTAAACGTAACTGTTTGTTTGAATTGCAAAAAAGTGAAAAGTGAACATCACTTTGTAAATCAGCTTTAAAATATTGCATGTTTTACTCTTCGTCTCTTTGATGCTCTCCCAATATTGTAAGCATCGACTGAGATTTTACATCTAAATCATTGAGATTATGACTTAACAAAAAATTACTGTATAGACTGTATAATGAATGTTTATTAAAAAAATATATACATTTTTATTAATTCGTGGGTAGATTATCAGCGTTTGAAGTGTTTCCAACGAGATAAAAGAATTCCTGAAAAAATGGTTTAAGGAGATTTACAATAATACCCGTTTAATGTGTTCTTCACTGAGCAAGAAAGAGTCAAACTTGAAATTGTCACACCGAACCTACAATCTGCAGGTTTGTAGCATTAAACGGACATGTTTACCACTGCGTTTTAACTTTTACATTTTAATGTGTTTTATATTGTACTAAAATATACCTTGAGATCTTGGTCTATTGTTGTCGCTGAGAATATATGATTATGATTGAGATTGTATTTCTTGTCATAATTGATAAACCTAAAAGATAATTTTGTGTACACAATAAAAGTTTGCAATGCAAGCGGTTCTTTTTATTGTAAAACGGGGGTCACAGGTCAAATAAACCAAACAAATTCTTAAATATTTTCTCAACCATATATTTTAGTTTCTTCTCTTTTTCTTCTCTTTTCTCCTTTATTCTTCAATCTTCCATCTATATATTCTTTATTCTTCATTCTTCCATTTCTATATTCTTTATTCTTCATTCTTCCATTTACATATTCTTTATTCTTCATTCTTCCATTTATATATTCTTTATTCTTTATTCTTCCATCTATATATACTTTATTCTTCATTCTTCCATCTATATATTCTTTATTCTTCATTCTTGCAACTATATATGCTTTATTCTTCAATCTTCCATCTGCATTATACTTTATTCTTCATTCTTCCATCTATATATACTTTATTCTTCAATCTTCCATCTATATATTCTTTATTCTTCATTCTTCTTTATTCTTCATTCCTTTATCTGTATTATACTTTATTCTTCATTCTACCATCTATATATACTTTATTCTTCAATCTTCCATCTATATATTCTTTATTCTTCATTCTTGCAACTATATATGCTTTATTCTTCAATCTTCCATCTGTATTATACTTTATTCTTCATTCTACCATCTATATATACTTTATTCTTCATTCTTCCATCTGTATTATACTTTATTCTTCATTCTTCCATCTATATATACTTTATTCTTCATTCCTTTATCTGTATTATACTTTATTCTTCATTCTACCATCTATATATACTTTATTCTTCATTCTTCCATCTATATATTCTTTATTCTTCATTCTTCCATCAATATATTCTTTATTCTTCATTCTTCCATCTTTATATACTTTATTCTTCATTCTTCCATTTATATATTCTTTATTCTACATTCTTCCATCTATATATTCTTTATTCTTTATTCTTCCATCAATATATTCTTTATTCTTCATTCTTCCATCTTTATATACTTTATTCTTCATTCTTCCATTTATATATTCTTTATTCTACATTCTTCCATCTATATATTCTTTATTCTTTATTCTTCCATCTATATATACTTTATCCTTTATTCTTCCATCTATATATTCTTTATTCTTCACTCTTCCATCAATATATTCTTTATTCTTCATTCTTCCATTTACATATTCTTCATTCTTCCATCTATATATTCTTTATTCTACATTCTTCCATCTATATATTCTTTATCTTTATTCTTCCATCTATACTATACTACAGGCCACAGGGTGTCCCAATAAACATGGGAATTGAGAGACGACATGAAAGTCGTCTTTGATTTCTGATATTTAAGGGATGACAAAGAAAGTATAAAACGAGGCTGTACGTCTTATGAGCTGTAAAAAAGTGGTCTATCTTTCTTATGTATAAAATATTGACGAAAATATGAGATATTAAGACAATTTTTATTTTTATTTAATTGAAATTTGTCCAAGTTTTGCGATATCTCCATCAATTTTGAAGATAAAAAATTGGTGAACCACAGTTTAAAATTCTCCAGACCAGGCGTTTTCGATATAAGATGTTTAAACTGAAATACTGCAATAATTGTGTTCATGAAAGATGCCATATGGATCGATGACAATATAAAAGTCGTCACTTAATTCCCATGTTTAATGGGACACCCTGTACATACATGTCATTGAAAGGGGAATACTCATTTGGCGTACAGTCCAGGTTTACCGTACATACATATTACATATTCTATGTTCTCTATAATCTCACGCGTGATGAATTTGTATCATGAAAAGTTTTGTCGTAAACACCAGTTTTCCATTAAAAATTTAATTTACAGGGTGTCCCAAAAAACATGGGAATTCAGTGACGAATTCGATATCGTCTTTGTTATGAATTAGCATTGTAATACCTAATTTCAAAAGCCATAATATTATTATGTCTGCTAGAGTTTATTTAATGAAAAGGGTAAAAGACTGCAAAGATGTGTCAATAATGTCTCCGCAAGATGAACAGTGAATACGGACAAGTTTACTCTGTTTGTATACTGTAATTTTCTTGTTTTACTAAGTAATCCGGTTGCAGTCAAAACATAAACAAACAAAATGTAAACATAGCAGACGAAACTCTTACAGATTACAGCTTTCTCAGTAGGTATCACTATACTAAATCAAAGAATTATTTGAAAAGACGATATCGAATTCGTCACTGAATTCCCATGTTTTTTGGGACACCCTGTAGAAAAGACTTTGATTTTAAGTAGTTAATGTAAGAAAAAGTTTGTCCAAGAAGGGGGATTTCCTAAATGTTGTCTGCCCTCGGTTTACATTTAAAATCAGCAGACTTAGGAAAATTTTATTCATTTTTATTTTGAAAAATAATATCGGGACCAAATTCTTAATAATTCAGTCAATGATGAAGGAACAAAAAAGGCAGAAAACATTTAAGAAAATTCAAATTATGAATTCACATGCCCCCATACCAGAAATATAAAAGTCGCAACTTAATTTTCATTTTCTTGGAATTAATATTCCACAATTTCTTACATTGTTTACAAAACTTTTTTCATGCATCTATTCTGTAGATTCTTGTGATCAATGGAAAAGAATTAAAACCTATTTCATTCTTTACTGAAGTATTTTTGCTTGAATTATGTTTATTTTCCGGTCTAAATTTTAAGATTATTCTATTATCACAAAAAATGTGAGTTACAATGGAATGTGAATACAATTAAATGGAAGAGAAGTTAAGACTGGGGATTAATAAATGTGATTAAATTATTCATTTAGAAGCACTTGCGGTGAACAATGGAGGGTCCGCACTCATCATACTCCTGCTTGGAGATCCACATCTGTTGGAAGGTGGAGAGGGAGGCCAGGATGGATCCTCCGATCCATACAGAGTACTTTCTCTCAGGGGGAGCAATGATCTTGATCTTGATGGTGGAGGGAGCCAGGGCAGTGATCTCCTTCTGCATTCTGTCAGCAATACCAGGGTACATGGTGGTTCCTCCGGACATGACGGTGTTGGCATACAGGTCCTTACGGATATCAACATCACACTTCATGATGGAGTTGAAGGTGGTCTCGTGGATGCCACAGGCCTCCATTCCAAGGAAGGAAGGTTGGAAGAGGGCCTCAGGGCACCTGAACCTCTCGTTACCGATGGTGATGACCTGACCGTCAGGAAGCTCATAGGATTTCTCTAGGGAGGTGGAGGCAGCAGCAGTGGACATCTCCTGCTCAAAGTCAAGGGCAACATAGCAGAGCTTCTCCTTGATGTCTCTGACAATCTCCCTCTCAGCAGTGGTGGTGAAGGAGTATCCTCTCTCAGTCAGGATCTTCATGAGGTAGTTGGTTAGTTCACGACCAGCCAGATCCAGACGAAGGATAGCATGGGGGAGAGCATAACCTTCATAGACAGGAACAGTGTGGGAAACACCATCTCCAGAGTCCATGACAAGACCAGTGGTACGACCAGAGGCATAGAGGGAGAGGACAGCCTGGATAGCAACATACATAGCAGGCATATTGAAGGTCTCAAACATGATCTGAGTCATCTTCTCTCTATTGGCCTTGGGGTTGAGGGGGGCCTCAGTCAGGAGGACGGGCTGCTCCTCAGGGGCAACACGGAGCTCGTTGTAGAAGGTGTGATGCCAGATCTTCTCCATATCATCCCAGTTGGTGATGATTCCATGCTCAACAGGGTACTTAAGTGTGAGAATACCTCTCTTGCTCTGGGCTTCATCTCCAACATAAGCANCTTCAGGGTGAGGATACCTCTCTTGCTCTGGGCTTCATCTCCAACATAAGCATCCTTCTGTCCCATACCAACCATGACTCCCTGGTGACGGGGACGGCCGACAATGGAGGGGAAGACAGCTCTGGGAGCATCATCACCAGCAAATCCAGCTTTGCACATTCCAGATCCATTGTCTACGACAAGAGCAGCAACATCCTCGTCACACATCTTGATTGAGTTCTACTACAAGCTGTGTGTAGAATGAGCAGCAGAAAACTGATAAATTATACTCTTCTATCTGAACATTTATACTTTAGCACAGATAGGAAAGCAGAGTCATGAAGGCCATATAAGGTAAGGTATTGTGTTGACCTGGTCAATTGACCGGTGAGCTGAGAAAATCAGGGAATGTTTGGGAAAGTTTTGTTTAAATTTTCTGCTAGCTGGGCTGTAGCCTTGTTTGTAAAATGTTATATTCATACATCTTTTTATTAGCATTAGAAAAATTAATCTTTTTAGAATTATTTTAACTTTTATCATAATTTTGACGGACCTTCCATTAAAAGTTTCTAATTTTTATAATATAACAATGTTCTTGTATCTGAGTATCCAAAAAAATTGATAATTTTTAATTGTTTTTTTTTTTAACTTAAGTCTTGAACAAGAAAACAATTTTATCGTCCGCATTCTGATCTAGATAAATATTCAAAGAGGAGTATTGTAAATTGGAAATGTATCTCTTTAACGGAGGGTCACTTGAAATCAAGTCTATAGTGCAGTGCATTGATGTTTTACCTAATATTAGTTTTCCCACCAGCAACAGCACTCTTAAAAAGTTCTTTACCTTAAAAATTAAAAGAGCATTCATATAAGAAAGGGTTCCCAATAAACAAAGCATACAAAAAACGAGTGTTCTAAAATGTGTTTTCACTTTATCTTTAAGGGAGTAACCGGCTATATAAGGTAATTGAACTGAGTATGCAGTGTTGTGGAAAACTTCTTTCGGATTCATTTGAGACATATTAAACTTTTTAAAGATCTGTAAATCCTGAGTATGAGCGCAAATTCGATTTTCAAAACTCCTACTTTGGGCGTGGATACGTTTTCAGAATTAGTTTTTTTAAATTATTAAAGAACGACGACATTAAATGTAAAAAAGTTCTACAATAAACTACAGACGTCACGTAAAGGAACATGTTGAGAAAATAAAAATTAAGCTTATCATAGAAAATAAGTAATCTTGTTCAATTATTAGTTTCTATTTTCTCATTATTCTGGTTTCTCATTATTCACAAAGATTTTCTAAAGATTTTCTAGAATTATTATTGAAAAGACGACATTTGAAGAATTTGAAGAAATCTGCGAATAAATTCAAAGAAAATAAGAAATTCAATATAAAAATGAAAACGAAATAATTGATTTTAGCATTGATTTATAGACAAATTTCTTTTCAGAAATATGTTCCTCACCATCTAAATTGATTACTGTATAATTTTTACTTTATTTTTCGTTGTCGTTATGCAGCGACTTTTATTTCTGTTTATGTTTCATTTTTTGGTTAAGAACCTTTTTGTACCGAACAAGCGTGCTAGGCTAGGCTAGGCGCACTTGGGTATAAAAGGGTTTTCAATTTTTTTCCTGCAAGTAGTCTATCCTGTAATATTTACGCTACCAGATTATCAATAGAAATTGTTTTAAAGATATTTCTTTCTTTTCGCCCAGAAACAATAGATAGATATGAGATAGTTTAAGACAGAGTTCTAGAGTTTAATAATTTAAAAAAACTAATTCTGAAAACATATCCACCCCTAAAGTAGGAGTTTTTAACGTCCAATTTGCATGTCAAACTCAGGATTTATAGATCTTTAAAAAGTTTAATATGTCTCAAATGAATCCGAAAGAAGTTTTCCACAAAACTGCATATTCACTTCAACTACCCTATCTCTGCTGGGGTACTTGAAAACCAGGATATGCTGGGGGGGAGGTTAAACAGGACAGTACACCAAGGCGCTAGTCGGGGCCTAAGGTGCAATTTTTTTCTTATTCTTTATTCTTTACACTTAAATAATGGTCATTCAACTAAATATTTCAAGTAAGATGAAAAATTTCTCACCGAGATGTACAGGAACTACTGTATCGTCTTCCGCGTGCAAAGCTAGCGTAGGCGCAGTGATGTTCAGTAGATAATCGACAGAACGGAACTCGGCATCTGCGCATTTCAATTCAGCTGACACATTCTGCAGTAAACACACATTTAAAATTTTACCAAGAAACCATTGCTTTTTTTACGCTGACTGAAAAAAGAAATTACAAATCTAAGTTTTGAAGTAAAAAGTGAAAATATTTACCAGGTTTAGCCATGACACAAGTGCCCCACCTAAATACTGGGCCTCATCTTCCATAGTATTAAAAGCAGCTTCTAGAACTAGTCCGCTAATAAGATACTCTAAAATATTTATATTTTAGCATGTGCATTGAGAATTCATCAAGCATGAACTAATATTATGTGGGACAATAAATGATCTAATATTATTTGGGACAGACATCAAGCATGATCTAATATTATGTGGGACAATCATCAACCATGATCTAATATTATGTGGGACAAACATCAAGCATGATCTGATATTATGTGGGACAATCATCAAGCATGAACTAATATTATGTGGGACAATTATCAACCATGATCTAATATTATGTGGGTCAAACATCAAGTATGATCTAATATTATGTGGGACAATAATCAACCATGATCTAATATTATGTGGGACAAACATCAAGCATGAACTAATATTATGTGGGACAATCATCAACCATGATCTAATATTATGTGGGACATACAAAAGTTAGCATTCCAGCATGTGATTTTTAATTACATTAAAAAAAAAGCAACAATGAAAACATGAATTGTACTTGAAAATTGTCCTAACTGGCAAAAAAAGGTTTCACTCTCACAGGTAGAAAAACTCGGGTTTGGAAATTAATTTCGATATATTTCATATCCTCAGCAGTCCTACAGAAAATTACCAAAATTATTACAAATTAAAAATAAAGATAATGAAACAAATACTTTCTAGAAATTTATAAAAAAGTAAGCAAATTAGGGGAGGAGGATTTTTTTAAAGTGGAATGAAAATTTTTTTTGAAAAGTGTAAAAATAATGTACTTACTATCAAGTGCTTGCCATTTATTTGTTGTTATTGTAGCAATCGAAGTGCCAAGTGAGTGCCCCCAAACAACCAACAAAGGACCTTTCCCACTGTGAAAACAAAAGAAAATTTAAGATATTGAAGTTTTAAGCAGATTCTTTTTTAAAAGAAAGCTCACCTTGATTTTTTAAAAGAATTAGTTGCCCAGGTTAGGACATTCAAGCTGTCAGATACCAAGGTAGTTTCACTGCAATTTAAATCAAATATTTTCCTTTCAAAGGGACTGTTTACTTGTTTACAAATAAACATAGTACAACCATTTTTAAAATTAAATACAAAGTTTTTTTATGATAAAATATGTCCTGAAAACAGCGTTTTTTTATTTTTATAAAATAATTTTAGTTTGTTACTTAATGTTTCATTATTTTTAATAATTACTTCCGTTACTAATGGAACCTAATATTCTTCAAAATTAAATAATAATAAATAAAATTATCATAGAGGAAAAAATTTGCGAAAGTCCGCGTAAAAATACCTGAGATGAACTTTTGTAGAATCCCCAAAACCTCGGTAGTCGAATGAAAGAACATAGTATCCCATCTTGGTTAATACACTACACAATATTATTTCTTTTTTTTCTTTCTTTTTTCTTTCTGTTTTTTATTGTATTTATTGTATTTATCTTACATTGTAGTCTTTTCTTTACTTTTGTTAATTGTAAAACGTTTTTTAAATCTTTCATTTCTTCTTAATCCCCTGTCTAATCTTTATGATTTATTAGTCAAAGGAACTGCAAGTTTTTGCCTCAAACTCATATTTTCTTATCTCTATATCTTTGCAATATGATGTTGTAAACCTTTGATATTTCAAACTTAGACAATTTGATCTAACAAAATTCATATTTTGAAATATCAAAGGTATACGACATCAGGTTGAAGATATAAGGGTTAGCAAGTCAGAGTTTGTGGCAAAAACTCAGTTCCTCTGTTCTAGAATTGATAATGATGTAACAAACATTGAAATATATTTCTTATTTTGAAGTTATAAATTCTGCAGGAAGAAAACTCTTTTAATCAATTCGGATATTTACAGATATTTACAGGATATTTACAGGATATTTACAGGATATTTACAGGATATCACATTTTCATAAAGTTTGGTTACTCGTAACTACATGAAGATGATTAACCTGTAAAGCTGTATCCTGTCTCCGAACCCTCTGGAATCAGAGTTTCCATGCATATACACAATCAGAGTGTCACGTGGTCTTAACTCAGATAAACTAGTCACAGAGGACCCTTGAGTAAGGAAGGGCATGTTAGGTATTATTTGACTGTTTGTTAACCGTTAGATAAAAACGTTTGGTTGGTAGGAATAAGAGAATTATTTGTTAATTTAAAAAAAAATTTCAGCCATTCTAAGCTCTCAAATTAATTTTTTGGGATTAACATAAAAATCAACTAAATTATCTCTTTTCGAATAATTTTATTTCGTTTTTTTTTGTTTCAAAATAATTACTTTTCTAAAGAATCCAAGCCTTTTTTCGGCTTAACTTACAAAATTAACAGAATTATTTTTTTTGAATTAATGTTTCTTTCAGTTTTTTTCTAGACAATAACAATAAAAGTTTGTTTTCTTTAAATTTTTAAAAAACTTCCGATTATTATTTAAATTCAGACCAGAGCCATATCATTTGAAATAAAACTCGTTTGTTCAGTAAAATAAGAAATTTCTTTCGTTCGTTTGAACACTTTCAAAGTGTACGTTTTTGTTTTTTCGTTCGTTTTTTTTACAAACGATCGTTTTTTCAATTCTATGAATGTTCCAAGTCGTTTGTCCACCATTGTTTTTTTTCTGAATAAAACCATCGTTCACGAAAAATCTTGTTCGTTCTCAAAAATTGTGTTCATATGAAAAAACGATTTCCATCTCTATCCTTGGGGCCAGATAAACCAGGCTCCAAGGGAACCTTTAACAGTCGGAATTCTGTAATAAAAAAAATACTCTTGAATTAAATTTATTATATTTTGATAAATTTAACATTGGCAAATTTCTGATTTTTTTTGCTTAGTTTAGTTTAGTTTGCTTTTTGCTGAGTTTTTAATGCAAGGGTATAAATTATAAGAGTGGAATAAATTAGACAATTTTTTCCCTTCTTTTGCTTACCTAAAATTTTTTCCATTGCTAATTCCATAGTCTGCTGGGTCGGATAGATCTCGGAACAGGTTTAAAATACCTCCCCTGGTTCAATAGAAAAAAAAAATTAAAGTCCAACTTCAGTTTTGTGAATCTCGGATCAAACATTGATCTCCGTCTCCACTAAGCAGTTCCGACCTCCTCTGGCGAAATACAAATATTTATATTGGACATTAATTATAAATCTAGCATTTGGTTTTAGAGGCGTATTCAGGGGGGGCTATGTGGGTTTAGCCCCCCCCCCTGGTCCAGTGAAATATATTGATTTCAGGGGTTTCCAGGCTCAACGGGTGATGAGCCCCCCGGAAAGAAAAAAAATTAACCCCCCTTAGACAAATTCCTGAATACGCCCCTGGAAAACCTAAGGGCGTATTTATATTTGTTTTGCTCAAATTTTTCAGAAAAGGTTGAACCGTATAGAATTTTAAAGAAAACATTTTATCATTCTGGAAGAGGGTTGCTATAATTGCTAAAAGCGTAAATTTTTCAAAGATTTATGATTTTATTTCTTGTGTGTGTTTCCAAGAGGAAGAACGAAGGTGGATTCTATTATTATTTTGTGAATGTACTAGCTTGAGAACCCAGCGTTACTCATATAGGTACTTCCGTCGTTTACCCGCGCTTGGTTGTAAATTACGATTTTGGCCTTTTTTCTCCATAAAATAGTGGATCCACTAAATTTAGAATTTAAAAATCAAACCAACACATTCCCGTGGTACTCCTGAGTTTCCCAATCAAAATTTGAGGCAAATCGGTCAGGGTGTTATGATCGGACATACAAACAAACAAATATTACAACCTTATTTATATGTATAGATAATCAAGGTCCGCCACATTAATTTGTAAAGATATGTGGTGTGGATTCTTTAAATATTTTCTAGCTGTGATTTAGCTGCGACTTTCTCGCCTAGCTAGCCTGGGAGTTCCCAGCTAAATAACATCTAGAAAATGAAGGAGTAATCACTTTCTCGCCTAGCTAGCCTGGGAGTTCCCAGCTAAATAACATCTAGAAAATTAAGGAGTAATCACTTTCTCGCCTAGCTAGCCTGGGAGTTCCCAGCTAAATAACATCTAGAAAATTAAGGAGTAATCACTTTCTCGCCTAGCTAGCCCGGGAGTTCCCAGCTAAATCACAACTATAGAAAATGATGGAGTAATCACTTACTCGCCTAGCTAGCCTGGGAGTTCCCAGCTAAATCACAACTAGAAAATGATGGAGTAATCACTTACTCTCCTAGCTAGCCTGGGAGTTCCCAGCTAAATCACAGTTAGAAAATGAAGGAGTAATCACTTACTCGCCTAGCTAGCCTGGGAGTTCCCAGCTAAATCACAGTTAGAAAATGAAGGAGTAATCACTTTCTCATAGCAAGACCCAAGTTATAATTGTAAATAGTCGAATAAACATTAAACACGGCAATTGAGCAATTTGCATAAATTATTTCACTTAGCCATGCGATTTGTAAGTTACTATAAATAAATAAATCAACTTTTTGCGTTGTAACAGAATAAATTATAATTAAACATTGCTTTAATGTAATTAATTGCTTTAATTTATTTAATAAACTTATCCATGTTTATTAAATATTAACTGAAGACGAGCAAAACGAAATAATTTGTATTAATAAATATTAAAACTATAGAAGCTGCTCTGATTATTGCTCTATAGTTATGTCTATATTGTAGAAGCCTGACTTTTAGTTATAAGAAAATATGATTTTGTCCTACATGTTAAAATTAGAATTGAGTTTGCATAAATGCGCAAACAGTTTCACTGATATTTCGCAAACTTGTTCAATCTCGGATTTTACACTAGTCATTCTTAGTATGTTAAGCGAGTAACATATGAATAAATAAACTTGTGAAAATATGTTATCATTCTGAGTTATTGAGACTTCTACAATATATATAATATGAACCATAATTTGGACCATCATAATTTAATTTTTTTTTAAATACGCCAATTCAAAAATTTAGAACAATTTAAGATGACAAATTTTAGAGCAACAGTTAAAAGCTAAACTTCTTAGTTTGTTAAGAAAACCTGATAATCGTTAAGGCCAAAAAGTCAAAGAATTCAAAGAAGAAATATTATGTTTTTATGAAAGCATGCATCATGAGCACTACGTACCTGATTTTAAACCTAACTATAGGTAAAAATACAACTGTTCTAACAAACCATGTTGTATATTTGCCACATTCAACTCTCTAAAGTAGAAATAACATTTCATCAAGAACCGAGAACTAGTTTTCTAGTTTTCTAGTTTTCTAGTTTTCTAGTTTTCTAGTTTTCTAGTTTTCTAGTTTTCTAGTTTTCTAGTTTTCTAGTTTTCTAGTTTTCTAGTTTTCTAGTTTTCTAGTTTTCTAGTTTTCTAGTTTTCTAGTTTTCTAGTTTTCTAGTTTTCTAGTTTTCTAGTTTTCTAGTTTTCTAGTTTTCTAGTTTTCTAGTTTTCTAGTTTTCGCATCCTGATGAACATTAAACTCCCTAGAAAGGGATGATTCATTTGCTGTACTATCCCGTTTTTGTACTGTACCGTTTTTATGCTGTACCGTTTTGTACTGTCCCTTTTTGTACTGTCCCATTTTGTACTGTCCCTTTTTGTACTGTCCCATTTTGTACTGTCCCTTTTTGTACTGTCCCATTTTGTACTGTCCCTTTTTGTACTGTCCCATTTTGTACTGTCCCTTTTTGTACTGTCCCATTTTGTACTGTCCCTTTTTGTACTGTCCCATTTTGTACTGTCCCTTTTTGTACTGTCCCATTTTGTACTGTCCCTTTTTGTACTGTCCCATTTTGTACTGTCCCTTTTTGTACTGTCCCATTTTGTACTGTCCCTTTTTGTACTGTCCCATTTTGTACTGTCCCTTTTTGTACTGTCCCATTTTGTACTGTCCCTTTTTGTACTGTCCCATTTTGTACTGTCCCTTTTTGTACTGTCCCATTTTGTACTGTCCCTTTTTGTACTGTCCCATTTTGTACTGTCCCGTTTTGACATCTATATAGCCTGTACGTTTTCTGTACACAACTTGCTTTAGCAACGTACAAGTACTCTTCAATTTCAATTTATCAATTTTTTTTATATAAAATAATAGGTCTTTGACATCAGGTTTGACATATATAAGGATTAGACAATTTAAGTTAGAGGCAAGTTTTCAGGTGCTTTGTGACCTCTTTAATCTAATATTTTTAAGAAACTTAATTCTCAAAAGATATTTGTCGATGACTCCTGTAAAAACGTCCAGGAGATTAGTTTCTGACCTTTCTTCAAGTCTGGGAAAAAATAATGCCTTCAAAAATATGAATTTTATGTAATTTAACCTTTTTTAAAAACATTGAATGAAAATGTATCCTCTATGGCCAATATGACACCCTCTCTTGTTTTGGACAGTATTTGACATTAATACAAAATCTTTTTTTTTAAGTAGCTTTTTTACCTCCATGGCGATAGCTGACATTTCTTCGTGAAAACTAGAACAATTTTATTAATTTCATTTGATTTTTTTCATGTGAAAGAAAAGAAGAATGTACACCGACTATTTCTGATACCAATTATTTTGAAAATATCAGAAATAAATGTTTGAGGTGTGCTGTTTTACACTTTTTGTAATTTGGTACAATTTTTATTTATCTTTTATAGGAAAAAACTTTTAAAATAAAATTCTTAAAAAAAATAACGTTATAGCAAATTACTATTTACCTTCTATTATTTTCATTTTCTATAATTTTTTCCTCTTCTTCTTCTTGTTTTTCTTCCCTTTCCTCATTTTGTAAGAAAACTTCTTTAGTTGTCTTCTCTTCATTTAAAGTCTGGTTTCCTAAGTACAGGAGGAGATCCAGAGATCCAGAGAGAGAGAGAGAGAGAGAGAAGGAGAGAGAGATTTAATACGTTTAAAATAAATTTTATAGCTAGGACTGGGCAAAGTTCCATTAAGGAAACCGAGGTTTTCGAAAATTAACGGAAGAGTCCGTTAGCGAATGGCAAAAAACGTCATTTTTAAATCATTAACAAAACGGATTAGCCGTTTTTGAAAAAAAATCATTGTTAAAAACGTTAACTGGTAAGATGAAAACAGTAAATTTCCTTATTTTCGGATTAAAATTGCATGACATTTAAAAAAAATAAAAAATGCCGTCAACGGAATGAACGCTCCAACCTCACCTTTAAAATTATCTGCTAACTGAAATTTTTATTTTTTAATGGTTGGAACCAACCGTTAACGAAACGGCTAGAAAAAGTTGGAACGTTCCCAGCCCTATGTATACCTATTTAAAAATGCCCATTCTAACTTTTTAGTTTCAAATGACTTCGGTATTATGTAAAATTTTGAAACTTTTGATTATAGGTTTTTTTTTAATTTGTTGCAATCTTTCAAAGTTTGTTTGCAGTTTGCATAGAATTTTGGTTTAAAAATATTTACCGTTAATTTTGAAAACAGGTTCCAAGGTTACGGTAAGAGCAAAAGAAAATAGCAAAGCATATCGGAACATTTCGTCTCTGAAACTCTTTATATAAACACTAGCTTAGGAACCCAGCTTGAAAGGGGAGTCATAGTAATTCCCACCATTTACCCGCCGTTGTCGTAAATTACGATTTTAGTTATTTTCCCGTTAAAAGTGGACTCAACTTATAATCTCAAGCTAAGAATATTCCTGTGGGTCTCCCGAGTTTCCCAATCAAAATGTGAGGCAAATCGGTCAAGGGGTTCCTGATCGAGAGTTATGATCTGATAAACAAACAAACTGAGATTACAACTTTATACTTATAGGTATCTATGACTGGGGAACAACCAAATATTATGCTCGAAACAAATTTTAAACGCAGTTAGAACTATTTTTTGAGAAGCTGGACCCATTTTAAATTGTCTTTTTTGTCATTGATGATAATAACCGAAAACATACGCGATATTTTCGCATTTTTTTCTACAGAATACGAATTTTGTCCTCTATGTCTTTACAAAGTTCCTATTTATCCAATCTGAACTTTTTTTATAAACACTTTTGTAAAAATACTTTTCTCAATACGTCTCCAAATAAAGATTCTATGATTTAAAAATTGACATTCTTTGAGTTCAATTTAAGAACAACCGAAGATTTTAAATAAACTAATAGATCTTTTTATTAATTCAGTATGAGCAGAACTTACACGCCTCCCGATTTCGCGGTTGACGGAGACAAACTTCACCGCAACAAGCCGAGGAACCATGATCTCACAAGATACGATGAACAGGAAGAGACTGAAATCTTGTCTCTTTCCACTATACTAGTTTATATAGCCTCGATATTAACAAGGAGCCGTCAATGCTCCCCGTTATTAAAGATGTTAATTATGATGTTCTTTATTTTATCCTAAATTATGTAGCCTCAATATTAACGAGTAACGGTCAATGTTTCTCTTTATGAAGCTAACAATAATTTTCTTTAATATAAAAAAGAAAACTCGCTCCCGTGTATGTTTATGTGAAAGCATGAATACTGTTATTTGAAGCATTTTCCAATAAGAGATAACACACACTGTGTTTGTAGTATCTCCAAGTCAGATTTCATAAAAGTATGCTATCCTATCATATATAATGTAGTTTTTTCTCTTGAACTGCTGCTTTGTCAATACTTGAATATAAATTTACCAGCAATCCAGACATGAAAAAACGAAAAAATGTATCTGTAAAATTCTAGATTTCGACTTAATTAATTTACAATTGTATTTACACGATAACATTGCAAAAATGTTTTGTGTTAAATCCATATTAACAATTTTGTAAACTTGTAATAACCTCGATACATAAATAAATATCTAGATCTTAAAAAAAGAATACGAAAAAATAAGAAACTTTCGGAGAAAAGAGAGAAAATTTTCGCGAAACGATTTCGCTGGAAACCCTACCAGAAATGTTATCAATTATATAAATTGTGTACATCTGACCCCGCATATTTTCATAAATCATCTTTAATTTTGTTCCGAGGAACCCAAACCCTGAATGTCGAAGCAACTATAAAATAAAATAAGGCATTGTTAACATCGTTAACATCATTAGCAATTCGTGAAAGAACGGTATGATTCATTAACAATCGTTTATTTTTAAAATACCGACTGAAATTTTTTTTTGAAATATAACTATTTTGAAATGAACGAAAGTGGAACGATCAATGCAGCTTATGGCCTTCGTTAACGAATGTTTAACGAACTAATAAAAAACTAGAAAGTGCCTAGCTTTATTTGATCATCTTACAGTTTAACCCAGAACTTCGGAGACATCGAATGAATTTATAGAATGTCGTTTTCCTAAACCTACTGATAATGGAGATATTTAGTTTTTAAATTGAACAATCATCCTGGAGCTCTTTTGAACTGTTTCCGCTTATTAAATGACTATTTATTTATTTCTGCAATTATAAAGATTTAGGTAAAATGGTTTAAAACCTATTGGTAAATGGTCAAGACGACATTTTATATATTCTTTCAATATCTTTAAAGTTCTATGTTAAACTGTATTAATTGTGACTTTTCTTGACGTATTATAGGCGGCTTTTATGTGAAGGTCAAAACTCCGGGTATATTTTCCTTAAAAATTTTAAAATTTTTTCTTAAAACTTAAAAGAGAACCCCGTTGTGAATGCATGCATGGAGAGTCACATGAAATTACAATTAAGAATTGTCTATTTTCTCTGTACACTGTGTCTATTAAAGTCCCTTGAATCTAAAAAATAGACAAAGAATTGTCTATTTTCTCTACACACTGTGTCTATTAAAATCCCTTAAATCTAAAAATAGACAAAGAATTGTCTATTTTCTCTATACACTGTGTCTATTACTGTAAATTTAATTTGGCGACCTAATCTCAATTAAAATTTTAGCTGATTGTTTGTCTCATGTTTTACAAGCAAAACATTGTATTGACTCTACAGGGGGACCTGTAAACAGTGGAAACAGAAGATAACTGGTATACTCAAGTTATAAATACGGTGCAATTGTATTGACTCTACAGGGGGATCTTGTAAACAGTGGAAACAGAAGATAATTGGTATACTCAAGTTATAAATACGGTGCAATTGTATTGACTCTACAGGGGGATCTTGTAAACAGTGGAAACAGAAGATACCTGGTATACTCAAGTTATAAATACGGTGCAATTGTATTGACTCTACAGGGGGATCTTGTAAACAGTGGAAACAGAAGATAACTGATATACTCAAGTTATAAATTCGGTGCAATTGTGCAGTGTGTTAATGGTAAAATTAATTTTCCATTTCTTTTAAAAAAAGAACAACACATTCTCTATTTTACAACAACAAACCTTGATAGCACAAAAAAATAAAACTGTTTTGTTCCTAAACTTTGATTTCCTATGCTAAAAAACAACTATTACAAAACAACTATCAATGGTTTTTGTGTCTTTGTGACACAGAAACAAAACTTTAGAATTGTGGATATCGAGATAAATGCTTGATTTTCCTCTTTTGTTAATCTCAAGATTATTTTAATATTTAGTTTGTATCCAGGAAGGTGTATGCAGAATCCCAAACAGCTGTTAGAAGCATAGATAAAGATATATTGCGCATAAGACGACATTTTGCGTGCATAAGCTATCTATGTTTTTTTATTTATCTATGATTAGAAGCCTGGAAATTTGAAACTTTGCGCGCCATTTATTGATAGTACTCTAATTGGTCAAAATCCAGTAGGGCTATCCAAAAAGAGGATAAAGAGTGGTTTAAGCAGAAATCAAAAGTGTCCACAGCGGATATTCAGATTCAGTGATCTGTATTAAGGATATACACTTCTAAAGTTTTCAGTTCAGCAATAGCAAGATGTTCATTCTCAGAGTCTGGTGTAAGTAAATTTGCAACCCTAGTAATTATATATTTTTAACTAAACGAAAATTGTATGATCATGCCTTTAGCTTACAATGTAATTATTAAATTTGTGATTATGCATGCAATATTTTGTACAAAAAAATGTACAAGTACATGTAAATGTTACTAAAAGTATAAAAGAAACCTAGCGATTTACATAACAGTTTATGTTAAAACACCTAAAATCAAATTTATTATGAGACTGGTTTCAGGGGCGTATTCAGGAATTTTTCTAGGGGGGGGGGGTTGAAACTTTTTTCTTCACAGGGGTTGGGGCCTGAAAAACCCCTGAAATCCATAGATTTCACTAGTTCAGGGGGCGCTCAGCCCCCATAGCCTACCCTTAAATACGCCTCTGACTGGTTTATTATGTTCTCTATCACCAATCATGTTGAGAAATCAAAAAATGTTGAGCAAATGTCTAACAAACGGATTAAAATATATATTAAAAATATTACGTTTAATCAGCTGAAAAACATAAGACCGACTAGAAATATCAGCTGATCCGTCACATGATTTGTGCCACGTGATTTCAATTTTCCAGCCATTTTTCTTTAATTTATCTCATTATTTGTATCCAGGGCCGGAGGGTAGGTTACTATCAGGGAAAAGGGCTCCAGGCATGTTGAATCCACTTGGTGGATATCCAGAGGGATTAGGTGGGTATCCAGAGGGGTTTGGAGGATATCCAGAGGGGTTTGGAGGATATCCAGAGGGGTTAGGAGGATATCCAGACGGGTTTGGAGGGTATCCAGCTGGATTTAGCGGATATCCAGAAGGGTTAGGGGGAACGCCAGTGGGATTAGAAGGATATCCAGTTGGATTCGGTAGATATCCAGTAGGATTTTGGGAATATCCGGTTTGATTAGAGGGATATCCAGTGGGATTTGGTGGATATCCAGTTGGATTTGGTGGATATCCAGACGAGTTGGGTGGGTATCCAGCTGGAGCAGAGCCAGGATATCCTCCGGCTTGTTGTGGTGGATATCCCCCTGGCTGGGCAGGATATGAAGGATATCCAGAATTACCTGATAAATGTTTAATATTAATGTTAAATAAATGTTTTTAGCATAATAAGTCGTAAATTGTTTGTTTTAGATAAAGCTTATTCTTACCACTAGGCTTGGGTTGTTGCTGCTGTGAGCCTGTTGCCATGCCAAGATTATTCTCGTGGATTTTGAAAGATCTAAAAAGTTTAATTTCTAATTGATTTTGAATTTAAGTGTTTCCATCATGTTTTGCTGTATTATTTTATAAAACTAAATTAGGAGGATTATGACTTCATTTTTGAAAAAAATAATAAGTTGACAAACAGTTGCATTCCTACAACCTGATAACAGAGCTCTGATAGAAAGCTCTCTGCACTATCTGCAGTAGATGCTGAGGAAGGTGTCTGCACATATGGAGGGAGAGAAGGCCAAGTGGCCCTGAACCCTGTGCTCAATTAGCTAGCGTCCTTCTTATCTACAGTAGCCACGGAAATCGGAGCCCTTTCTGAAACGGCCCTTTTCCTGCTCTTTGAGCAGAGCTGTTACAAGGGGAACACTAAATGCGATACTTCCTGAGGAATTCCGGTGGACTGGGAAACAGTATAACATGTGGACAAATGGAGTGATTTTAACGAACATTCCTAATATGCCACTCCTACAAACCCTTATCATTATCTTCAACTCTCCTCTACCTACCGTATAACCTTCTCACAAGCAGCTAAATGAGACTCGAGGACATTTCTCTGATGGATCCTACAGCAAAATTACCTTTAAGCGAGTCACTTTATTATCCCTCGTTGAATAGCAACCCTCCTTGTACAGGAAAATAAAAATGTGCGGTTCATAGCTAGGAATCTATTTCTCCCTCGCTGGAAATAGAAACTAACTTGAAGTGCTTGAAGTGTGACCTAGCCAATGCAAGTAGACAGAATGTTCAGCACTGAGGCTGCAATTACAATAAGCGGCACAAAAAACGGAGAGGAGTACATCTATATAATGAAAAGGTGATCCTGCAATGTCTTAAAATGGCACAAAAACAGCAACTCGTAAACATTCTTTCAAAAGCAGCGCCACAAATGGACGGGCAAAGGGAGGCAATAAAAAAACTGTGGACGCATAGATGGAGAAAGGGAAAAAAATGATTGATAAACATTTGAAATTATTTATTATTTAAAAAATTATAAAAAATAAATCATAAAAACCTAAAAGTTAAGATAACAAAAACTATTCAAAAAAAAAACATAATGTTCGATAGACATTGGCACCCATAAATTGATATTTTTGTTCAATCAAAAATTAGTGATTATGGGATTTCTATTACAGGAACAATGAATGAAATTGTCATAACTCAATTCATTCTAAAATAGAAAAAAAAACCATATTTGTGCACTGTTGACAGAGGTTTAAGAAACACTATTGTATATAGAGTAAACTCATGATGTAGGGAGTAAACTTAGGATTTAGGGAGTAAACCCAAGGATGTAGAGAGTAAACTAAGGATGTAGGGAGATTATTATTATTATTATTATTATTATGCTTACACAATGATGCAGCTTCAAGTTGTTTAAGGCTAAAGTGACCCGTTCCTAAATTAAATTAAAAATGAGAACTTTAAAATTTAATTACAAATTTTTTTTTTAAATATTACCAAGTAGTTTATCGTTATTGTCGAGACCTTTTTTGCCATCATCATCAAACACTTCTATCCTATACAGGGAATACAGGGAATATCAGGAATACAGGGAATACTAGGAATACAGAAAGACAGGGAATGCAAGGAATACTGAGAATACAGGGAATATCAGGGAAAATAGGGACTAGAGGAAATTTAGGGGGAAACTATGCAGATGAAATTCGATAACATTCCCTTTAATTTAAATCGAACCTACTTAAGGTTTAAAGTCATATCGTGTCCAGGGACCTCCTCCTCTTTAAAGAAAAAATCATTCCAGTCTGGGTTCAACGTGTTCTAAAATATTAATTAAAAATATAATTTTCGCCTCTTCCTATTTTAATCCATGTCAGCTCAGACTCAAATTTTTTATTCCTGTTATCTTTGCAAACTAGGGGTGGACACCATTGATGTTTTAAACTTAAAATGTTTGACAAAAATCATGGGTTGAAATATTTAAGGTGTACACCATTGGGTTGCAAAGATACAGTAATTAGAAAATTTGAGTTTGTGGCAAATTTATTTTCTTTTACAGTTTTACAGATTTTTTTTTCTATTTTATAATTTAACAATGTTTTGCTGAATCTAAAATTCCTCAGTTAGGAATTTATTCTTTTATTTTTTATACTAATGGATTTTTTTGGTGCTGAAAATTAAAGCATTTTTAAACATAGATTTTACTTGTAAGGATGCGATCAATAAAACGTCAAAACGGCGGAACAGATCATAATTTTCGATTTCAACTCAATACCCCACCAGAGAAGGTTCATTGGCCGTTAAAGATGAAAGCTTTACCCGAAAAAATGTCAACATTTTCAATTCTTAAAATGCTCCAATTAAAAAAAAAACGCAAAATTTTAGAACGATTATAATTTGAGTTTCAGAGCTTCAGTTAAGATTGTTAATTTGTGCGAAGAACCTTTAATGATAACAAATAACGACATAAAAATCATTCGTTTATGTCGTTATGCTGATACATACACGAATTATAATAAACTTACTTGTTTTGTCTCCGAAATACGAATCTGCGTGAAACCCCCCTGAAGGTTAGGCCTGAAATATAATTGCATGAAACTATAAAGAATAAAAATACTAATATTCAGACTGATTCTCTTTCTAAGAAATCGTCTAATTAAATTGGGAGAGAAAAGAACCCTTACAAATTCCACAAATACATGACTTTTGAATAAAGAAAATGAAACACTAATCATCTTTTTTAAGAGACATCCTGTCACCCCATTCTAAAAGTTGCAGGATCCGAGGCGGTACGACATGTACTATTCATTCAGTCGTACTGTACAGTCTGGACTACACCGTGTAGTATCGACCCAGCACGTTTTATTCAACAAATGTAGCCTGGCAAGATCACAGCGCTGTATTTATAAAAATATATACATAATTTATGATTCGTAATTCATAATCGTTAATTTGAAACTTTTATAATTTTCTAAAATTCAATATTATTATGGGGACCACTGTATCATGAATACTAACCTGGATACTAAACAGAATGGGACCAGTGTATCATGAATACTAACCTGGATACTACACAGAATGGGACCCCTGTATCATGAATACTAACCTGGATACTACACAGAATGGGACCACTGTATCATGAATACTAACCTGGATACTACACAGAATGGGTCAGATTTAGAAAAATAATCTGTATCCCTAAGTTTCCTGGCTCCTAATCCCAGACTTACGGCTCGCATTTTTACTGAAATTTTTATAACTTAGTAATTTTTACGATTAATAATGTTTATTAATCAAAATATTGAATTTTAAAATTTTAAATTCGATTGAATCAGAATAATAATGTTTATAGTTTATAGTGTTTATAAATAAAAATTGTGATGTTTATAATTTTTAATGTTTATAAATAAAAATTATAATGTTTATACATAAAAATTATAATGTTTATAACATTTAATGTTTATAAGTAAAAATTATAATGTTTATAGTTTATAATGTTTATAAATAAAAATTATAATGTTTATAATTTGTATTGGTAGACGATGTGAACTAGACAAAAGGCGAGGATTATATGTACGACTTTGCGACCTTCCAGCTTCTCTTGTTTTGATTTTATGCTCATGCATCAGAGAAAAAAATGTTCAGAGCTGGGAACTTTAAAATGGTGCATGTCGGGATTAACTCTTGATCCACTCTTTTTCTTAATCTCAAGATTAAATAATGCTTGTTCTCCTCTTGTAATTAATCTCCAGATTAATAAACCGATCGGGATTAAGGATATCCCATTCTAAAGTTTACAACTCTGGTTAATTATTATAAATTTAACACATTTTTTCTTCTTAATAAAAATATTTTCAATAATCTGATTGAAACATATCAGATTTCAATCTTATATGTAATTTTTTTAAGTTTTATGCGGAAAAGAACTGATTATTTGCCTCAAATTGTAATTATATATATTTAAGATGTACATCTTTGCAATCGGATGTCGAAAATCCCAAATAAATGTGCTGCTAAATCAAAAATTCAAATTTTGAAACCTCAATGGTGTGCAGCGTCAGGTTGCTAAGATATAGGGATTAGAAAGTCAGATTCCTTTAATATGATTATTTAACACAGTTTCAATGCTACTCCAGAATTAGATTGAATCGTCTGAAATGTTATCAACACTGCTGTGAATATATGATATGTTATATATACTAATATTTTTATCAAGCACGTACACAACTGATAATGTTTATCACGTGAGAGATATAGTACGTACGTTGGTCATAGAAAATCCATTAATTGTCGTCATAAATTTATAATTATTGATGTAATAACAATTTCAAGACGTGAAAAATAATCTGTAAAAAGTTAATTTAATTTTCAGGTTTTTGTTGAAAAAGTTAAAGGGGTTTTTGAAGTGTTTAACGGGACTGTAATGGAAAAATGAAAGGGGGTATAGGCTGAAACCTAAGAATCTCAAGAGTTGAACGATACCTATAAGACATTTACCTGATGTTCCTGTCTCAAGAAATTTATATAAAACTGTGTCAAATTTATACGAAAATTCATATATATGCAATTTTGTATAAAAGTTGTAGTATTAAACAGATCATATTCAACAATTACGCAACGAAGATATCCCACAGGAGCCTAAGAATCTCAAATTTGCTGGTATTATAATTTTTTTTACTTTTGTTTTGCATTTATAATAAATATAATTGATAATATTTTTACATTTAGTCCGTTTAGTCCGTAACTACGTCACCAGATCTTAAACCAATGGCGGTGCAGTATACTGGTCACATGATTTCCGTCTGTATCACGTGAAACCTAAACCTAATGATTAATGTGGAATATTAACCTCGTACTTTCTGGCTAAAAAAGTTTTTAATTTTGATTATTTTTGTTACTGGAGCAAGAAAGTTAATTTTCAGGTAAAACCACAAAAGAAAATAATTCATTTTTTTAAACAAAAGTGTCAATATCTTAATCAGTCAAAGGTTTTAAGGGTACCATTGTAAAGCAGACATGCCACTTCATAAATAATATTCAAGGAAACCGTGATTTTATGGCGTTTCTCGCCCTTTCTCATAAAGCCGCCATTTTTATTCACTTGCTAATTTCGCGGATTTTCTTTATGAATTGTCGCGTTTTCTATATATTAAATGTCATCATCTTTTTCCGGTAAAAAAATTTCCGTTTAAACGTTCCATAAACCTTCTCTTGGATCATGTGACATAAATTAATTTGGGCCCATTCGGTTCAGCTGTATTGGCTTTTTTTAAACATACAGACATCCTAACAGACAAGCCAATCGAATTATTTTAAAATATTCTTAACATAATAAATTAAATAAATGTAAAATCATTTTTACAGTTAATCTGGTTCACGGCTAACCTCAAATTTTAACAAGTTTTTAACAATAATAGTTTTATCGATCTATCTTTCTATTATATAAGCTATTTGCCCTTCTGATTTTATCCTGTTAAAGGGAGTGACCGGCAATGTATGGTGGTTGAACTGAAATTGCAGTATTGTAGAGAAATGTTTTAGGATTCATTTGATACATATAAAAAGTTTTAAAGATCTATAATTACTGAGTTTGAGTGCAAAGTCGAAGTTCAAAATCATTAATTTGGGTGGGTACGTTTTGACAATCGGTTTTTTAAAGATTATTAAATAACGACGACAAAAAAAATAGTAAAAATGTTACAGTAGACTAATCAGATGTTTAGGAACATATTTCTCAAAAGAAATTTGTCAATAAATCAATGTTAGAATCAATTTCGTTTTCATCATCAGATTTAAAATCTTATTTTCTATGAATTTGTTTGCAGATTTCTTCAAATTCTTCAAATGTCGTCTTTTCAAAAAAAAATTCCAGAAAATCTACAGAAAATCTTTGTGAATAATGAGAGATTTGAGAAACTGATAATTGAAAAGATTACTTATTTTCGGTGATAAGAGTTAATTTTTGTTTTCTCAACCTTTTCCTAAACAACCAATTAGTTTACTGTAGAATTTTTGTTACAATTTTGTGGTCGTTATAATAATTTAAAAAAACCGATTCTCAAAACGTATCCACTCAAAAAGATGGTTTTAAGCGTTGACTTTGCTATCAAACTCAGTAATTATACATCGAAGAAACGTTTTTTATGTCTCAAATAATTCCTAAAAAATTTGTCCACAATTGTATTTGCCCCCCATATTTATCCATCTATCTATCTATCTATCTATCTATCTATCTATCTATCTATCTATCTATCTATCTATCTATCTTTATATCTATCTATCTATATATCTATCTATCTATCTATCTCTCTATCTATCCATCCATCTAACTAACTATCCCTTATCAACTTCAAAAATAAACCATATAGTAAAGTGCAGGTAAATTGTCTATATGAATGAATGAATGCGTTTACGCATGTTTGTACGCATGGATGTACGCATGTTTGTACGCAGAACCAATTGATAAGACAAAACTAACGCAAGTAGTGAGTTTAATGTGTCGAGGAGAGTTCTGTGAATTTGGAAGCTATAGTAAAAGAAACTTTATCACATTGAAACTTCTCAGAAATTGAAAGCTAAGGGAAAAACTTATGTGAAATTGGAAACAAGTAAACTTCTGCTGTGAAATTGGAATCTAGTAAAAGAATCTTCTAAATCCCTTTAAACCTAGTAACATCAATAAAAAAACGCCTCGAAATAGTGAAATTTGTAAATTCTGCTATGAAATTGGAATCTAGTGAAAAACTTAACAAACTATTAAATTTTTTTTATTAAATTGAAACTATAAAATAAAATATAAAAAAAAGTTGGAAACAGGAAACAGGAAAATTGAAACTAGTGAAAGGTATACATCTAGGAGTTTAAAAACTAGTGAAAGGTATACATCTAGGAGTTTAAAAACTAGTGAAAGGTATACATCTAGGAGTTTAAAAACTAGAGAAAGAAAAATTCTATGAAATTGGAATCCTGTTGTGATAATAGAACTTTGTGAAATTAAGTATCAGGAAACGGGAAACTAGAAAATTCTGTCCAAGAAATTGCGTTTTATTTAAAGTACCGGGCCGACCTTTTGGCAAAGGGGCAGTGCACTGGCACTTGTCCCCACCCCCCTCCCAACGAGAGAACTGTATCTAGAATGAAATTGAAAATCTAGTGAAAGAAACTACTGAGAAAGAACGAAACTTCTCCAAAAAATCAAAACATCGGAATGAAATGCTGGAAAACAAAGTGTTGCTATTTTGAAGAAAACTTCAAGAAAAAGAAAAATCGACAGTGTTTGGCAATTTATAAGAACCAAAATGATTGGGCAGAGTACAGCAGAAAATATGATCTCCTTTCCGTTAAAATTCAAAGGTAACACGATAACACGATCTTGGCAGCCATTTTTTTTTTACAGTGCCGATCAAGTTTTACAGTGCCGACTTTTTTACAGTTCAAATCAATTTTTACAGTGTAGATTATTTTATTTTTACTATGCAGATCAATTTTTTATATTGCAGATTATTTTTACTGTGCTGATAATTTTTTACAGTGCAAATCAATTTTTACAGTGCAAATCAATTTTTACAGTTAAAATCAATTTTTACAGTGCAAATCAATTTTTACAGTGAAGATCAATAGTTACAGTGCAGATCAATTAAGTACAGTTCATATTTTACAGTTCATTTTTTTATTTCGATTTAATTTATATTTCTCAAAGAAATGATTTTCGTAATTTTATACTTTACAGAAAGATAAGAAGTTTTCCTTTTATCTCTTTTCCGTTGACGTAATACTTCTAGGTCTTTAGAAGTTATAATAACCAAAAAAATAGTTTTCAATTAATTTATTATGTCTAAAAAAATTTAATTCTTTAATCTAAAGAGAAAATCATTAAATGCTCTGAGCAATTTATATTCCGAAATGAAGTTTTTGTTTCGTTGCTACTAGATCTTACTTATTTCCAGGGACAGATACATGATTTAAGTGAGGGGGGTGTTATATATTTATTTCGGAACCAAAAAATCCAGATTTAGGAACCAAAAGACGCCCCGAAGGTGAACATTTGTTGTTGACTATCCTGTTTTGCACTAGGTTTTCTTTTCCTTAAGTGCTAGTGAGAAGCTATTCTGAAATCTGCCCCCCCCCTGAATCTGTCAGGGGGTGCGAAGGTCCTGCCACCCCCCCCCGTATCCGCCCCTGCTTATTCCACTTAAGAGTTGTTTTTTCATCTACATATTCTGTATCCTCTTTTGCCCCCCCCCCCCTAAATTTGAAGAAATTTTTAGTTTTAGAATATTAACTTAGAACTGGGCCTTACTAAGCGATTGACCACATGAATAATCTAGCCGCAAGGCCCCCCCCCCCCAGATTTTTCTAGACTATTTTGCTATGATTGGGCCACTTTTTCTTTTTTATCTCTATGAATTTTGTTTTCAAATATTTGCCTAAAAAAATTTACAAAAATCTCCCAAATCTTTCAACTTATGTGTTTTTCTATTTTAAATTATATTTCAGACTCATTCAATCATTCTCTGAGAAATTTTCTCTAAAACATATTTTCTTCCTGGATTTTCTTTTAATTTTGTTTCCCATGTCTAATATATTTCATATGAAAGGTATATTTTGTGTAACAAGGTTAGGTGATTCATATATTAATGTGTACCTAGCATTTATAGCTGATAAGACTCCTATGTTTGACTTGAGATAAGACCTCCCACCCCTCCCCCCCCCACACTTCTCCGCCATTACACGTTATTCCGCCTACTTTTCAGTTTAGCCCTATATAGTGAGAATATATGATATATTGGTTCTCTTAAATCTTCTTCAAGCCCGTGTTCCTCCTGGCCTACTGGCAAGCTACCTCCAGGTTAAAGCCTATGTTCTTGAGTAGGGAGTATGCGAGTATACCGTGCAATGAAGCGTCCAGGGCAAAGTCCAAGTTTATCCAGCCAACACTCACCAAACATTCAAGCCATGGACACTGCACTGCAGGTAGCAATCTCTCATTAATATTTAATAATTAATATTTTTTTGAAATCTTGGTATCCTGGTCGATCCTTTAGGGGTGCAGGACTGGTGTAAACTATTGAAGTATATGCTGCCTATCTATAGTCTGCTATCTCTAACTCAAATACCACCGATAAAACTATCTTATCGAAGTGTATAAGGATATCTTATCAAGGGATATCTTTTTTCCACAAGTAAAACAGAAGAGAGATTACATGCTATACATATATATATATATATATATATATATATATTTAATATATACCGTAATGATAGCAATTAACTTTTATCAATGAAGATAAAATATTAATTGATATTCAGCAATAACAAAAAAATGGTTAAATGATAACAAAATCTTATTTAAATTTAATTGATTGTAACTTTAATGAAGGAAAAATTCAATTTTCAGTTTTTTAAAATTCATTTCAAAGGTTTGGAAGATATATTACTTCAAGATATATAAAAGTTTTTTGTTTAAATCTAAAAAGAATTTTCTAATTTTATTAACAAAATGCAATAACCTTAGAAACAAAATCTGTTACACTATTATTAAAATGTATTTAAAAGCAAATATTTTTAACTTCATAAACTATTTTTTTGAAAAGTATTTTAATTAAAGTCAAACATGGTTAACATGGGGAGGAGGGTTAATTTTTTTCTCGAATTTTGTTTACTCTTGGAACTTAGAGTGTCTGAGGCACGTGTTCTTCTAAAATGTGCAACAAAAAATATCAAATATTTCAAATTGGCAAGTTAAATGGACTGTAAAGGAAAAATGAAAGGGGGTATAGGATAAAACCTGAGAATTTCAGGACATTTATCTTATCTTCCTGTTTTCAGGTTTTATCCTATACCCCCTCTCATTTTTCCTTTAAAGTCCCTTTAAGAAGGACTTTAAGTAAAAAATTATCAAAAACGTTACCAATTTATTCAAAAACGTTAATTTTGATTTTTAGAAAATCAACAATTTTGTATCTTAATGTTAAAGGTATTGAGTCTTTGCCACAAACTCAAATTTTCTAATCCCTATATTTGTGCAATCTTATGGTGTAAACCTTTCATATTTCAAACTAAGATTATTTGATGTGCAGATTATTCCAGATTATGACCAAATACGCAGTTTGAAAGGCCTACGACATTTTTTGGCAAAGATGTAAGGTTTACAAATCAGAGTTTGTGGCAAAAACTCAATTCCTTTGCACTGGTTTTATAAACTTACTGATCTGTTAGTTTATTGATGGGGGGCTGTCAAAAAAAGAGGAAAAGGGAGTTCTACAATTGATGTATCAATAATTTAGTAAAATCATATTTCTATTTTCTACGGATACAACATTTTGTCCATGTCCATTTATGCTAGATAAACTTTATTTTAAAAATAAAGCAGTAATTTTAAATTCTTAAAAAAATGTCCATTAAAACATAGAAATGATTACAGGACTCTGACTCAGGACTGGAAATTAAGGATGAGTTTCATCCTTCTGAGGACATTGAGGACAACAAGGACAAGAACATGGACGAGGACAGTGGTGAACTAGAGGACAAGATGAAGGACAAGGAAGAAGATGATGAAGATGTGGAGATGGAACATCAGGAGAATAATACAGAGAACACCTTTAGCCATGGTAATAGTTACAATGATAATAATAATAATAATAAGTGCCCGGTGGTGTCCGTAAAATTTTGAAAACATTGGGGAAAAAAATAGAATTTGAGAGAAAAATTTTTTTAGCCAAATTTTTCAGTCGTTTTGCCAGGTACAGCTAACATATAATAATAATGGTAACTGGGGTAGCGTGGTTATTTAAAAAAATGCGAAATACTCTGATTTTTGAATCCCTGTATATTTGCAAGCCGATGCGTCGACTTTAGATTTCAAAACTATATATTCTGAGCTGAAAACTTTAGAATGGTGGATATTAGGATTAAGGCTTAATCCACTCTTTTTCTTAATCTACAGATTTAATATTGCTTGTTTTACCTCATAACTTTAATCTTCAGATTAATTATCCGACGGGATATCTGGATATTTCATTCTAAAGTTTCCACCTCTGTTAGATCAAATAGTCTAAGTTTGAAATATCAAAAATATCAAAATTTTGCCCCATCAAGACGCAAAAAAATAGGGATAAGTAAATTTAAGTAAAGAAAAGAATTAATTCCTTTAATACTTTAGACAACACTGACACTTTCAAAGCTGAAGCAACTCCTGATCCTGACTCTACTGAACACCCATCAACAGCCCCCAGAGCTAATCCAGTTTCAGAAGAAGAGATACATGAAGAAGTTGCTACCCGAGCTGAAGACGTGGCGGAAGCTGATATTACAAGCAGCTCAGATATACCTAACAATTCGTATTCTTTAGCAGGTTTGAACTTTTAACTTTGACAAAGATTATACCTCTTTTTTTGCAACTATATAGTTATCACTGCATGTTTGTTTGTATGTCCGTATCATACCTTAGTAACCCTTAAATAGATTTGCCTCAAATTCTTATTGCTAATACTGTTCATAAATTCTTGAAATTTGTCCTAAACATTCTATGCTTGATTTTTTCAAGGAGTTTAGTCTTAGCCACAAACTCTGATTTTCTTATCCCCATAGCTCTGCAACCCAGTAATATTTCAAACTATGAATTCTGTTAGAGTTTGTGACAAAGACTCAATTACTGTATGTGTCTGTTTTTAATAAAAAACCCTTCTCAAACCAAAAACATGTATTATTATGACCAGGCTTTCAGGATCTTCTGTTTCAATCGTGAATATTTTCTCTTTGTATACATTGTAAAACAATAATAACAAAAAAAGTTCGCAGATGTTATTAAACAAATCGTGAATTTTCAAAATTAAATGAAAATCGAATTTTATTGGATGGAGGCTAAATTTTGAAAATTTTATCATCTATAAACCAATTCCCTGTGGTCATGTACGTCAGGTCCCACACAAAAAAAACAGACAGAAAAACAAATAATATACATAGATTGTTTCTATTATCTTGATTTAGAAGAATACCAAACAGATCATCCTCTTGAACTCACTAAACATACTGATAGAGAAGTTAAACTTGAAGATGTTCCTGCCATTCCTGACCTTCTTCCTGCAGGTAAAAACATTCATACAAGGACTGCACACTTTAGTTCAAGTCATACTCATTTTAAAAGTTATAAATCCTATTTACAAACGGTGCCAATATCTGAAAATATTGTTGTATTTCTGTATGAACAAATTTGAGAAACCTATGAAATTAAGAACTGTATATAACTCTTTGAACAAGTATATATACAACAATTTACAATTCTAAAGCTGTCTAATTTGAAGAAAAATTAGAAACAACTTAAGAAGTTTCATGTTTTTTGAAATAACTAAATGATTACCAGGTGAAGGAAGGGGAGAGCCCCCTGCCTGCAAGAGAACCTGTATAGTTTATAACTAACTAAATGTATACTAGGTGAAGGAGGACCCGTATAGTTTAGAACTAACTAAATGATTACTAGGTGAAGGACCCGTATAGTTTAGAACTAACTAAATGATTACTAGGTGAAGGAGGAGCCCCTACGATGCAAGAGAACCCGTATAGTTTATAACTAACTAAATGAGTACTAGGTGAAGGAGGAGCCCCTACCATGCAAGAGAACCTGTATAGTTTATAACTAACTAAATGATTACTAGGTGAAGGAGGAGCCACTACCCTGCAATAGAACCCGTATAGTTTAGAACTAACTAAATGATTACTAGGTGAAGGAGGAGCCCATACCCTGCAAGAGAACCCGTATAGTTTAGAACTAACTAAATGAGTACTAGGTGAAGGAGGAGCCCCTACCATGCAAGAGAACCCGTATAGTTTAGAGCTAACTAAATGATTACTAGGTGAAGGAGGAGCCTCTACCCTGCAAGAGAATCCGTATAGTTTAGAAAGTATTCCCCAGGTGGCGAGCTATGTGGAATATACTATTTCGGATTCTAAAGACACAGTGCAGGTCGGAAAGTTTTTAAATTAAACAACATAAAAAACACGTTTTTGTAAAAGTCAAAAAACAGAAAATCAGTCAAAAATTCAAGTCAATTTCATCTATTTGGCCTCAGCCTGCAAATTGTGCTTAAAGGGACTGTAAAGGAACAATGAAAGGGGGTATAGGCTGAAACCTGAGAATCTCTGGAGTTGATTGAGACATATCAGAGTTCTATTTGATGTTCCTGTCTGGAGAAATTGATAGAAAAATCCGTCAAAATAATACTAAAACGTATATATGTAAGATTTGTATAAGATTTGTAGTATTAAACAGATTATATTCAGTAAATAAGCAACTAATATGAAAACAACGATATCCCAGAGGAGCCTGAGAAGTTCAAGTTTGCTCCTATTATTATTCGAATTTAATAATTTTTCATTTTTAATTGATAAAATTGATAATATTATTATGCGTCCGCAACATGTCACCAGAACTCCAACCAATGACAGTGCAGTATTATTGTTATGTGTCTCCGTCTGTATCACGTGACCAGTATACTGCTCTGCCATTGGAGGGAGTTCTGGTAACGTGATACGGATGTATATCTTACATATATACGTTTTGGAATAATTTTGAAACAGTTTCTCGAGACAGGAATTTCAGATAAATGTCTTATAGGTATCGTTCAACTTCTGAGATTCTCAGGTTTCATTTTTCCTTTACAGTCCCTTTAATGTTAATTGAAGCCTGATGCTAATAAGGCAAATTCGACTCAGTGCAGTGCTCGAAGAAAATTTTAGATTTCTTGGAGTGTTGGTTTTTCACATATTGATCTGAAAACTAAAATATCAACTTTTGTATGTGAAGGTTTCAGCTTTACTGTTAAGTTATAATTCAAATGAAAAAAATTAAAGATATGTACATAGTCAAAAAGAAATTATTTTTTAAGTCTAAATATTTATTTTTACCGATAGTTATATATTTAACAATTTTTTGTGTGTTTTACATACGGTTTACTTTTAATGACATCTATATAATAATATTGATTATGCAGGAATTATGTTTGTGGATTTATTCTTTAGACCAAAAGAAAAGAAATTATACATTGCATTATTTGTTTTGAAGTTTAATTTTTTTTCTGTGCAAAAACTTGAGAAAAAAAGAAAATTTAAAGTACTTCGATGTAGCCACCGTGCTTATGGTATGCTAAAGAAAGTTTACACACTTCATTTTGAAAAATAAAATCTATTCTGTTAAGGGAATGTTTTAATACCAGTATGGGTTATTGTAGGTTATATGATATAGCTTTTCCTCCGCTGAATAGACCAATAAGTAATCTATAAAAAAATATATAATGACAAAGTTCTTAAGGCTGATTATTTTCTCTAAAAGAAAAAAAATCTAAAATAATTTCGCTACCTGAAAACAAAAATGTATTATCTTAAAACTGGGATTTCAGTGCTTTGGTTTAATCTTGAAATCGACAACTTTCTTAGATTTCATGAATAACACCTCAATTTAAAAGTGTGTGCAGTAGATACTAATATAAAGTAAATTAGCTGAAGCTCTAATCTCTATCTTCTACACAAATGTTGCTCTCCATGGCGATCGGAATTAGTTCTTGTGGACGCCATTTTAAATTTATAAACACCCATTCGTATTCTAAGGCGCCATTTTTTATTTTTAGTCGCCATTTTGATTTTTGTTGTCAGGTTGAATACCTTGGTTCAGCTGATGTGCCGGGTATAACGGCTGAAGGTCGAGTAGAATATGTTACTTTAGGTAAACAAACCAGAATTTTTATTTTAATATTTATTATAAAGATTTATTCACACACAAAGATATAAATACATAATTAAATGTTTAAAAAACTACACCACTTATTTATGTATTTATATCTTTGTGTGTGAATAAATCTTTATAATAANATTATGCACAAATAGAAAACAATGATTTTTACTCACTACATAACATATTTATCATTTCAGTTATTACGTAATCATCGAATCCTTCAACATATAAATTATTCATTCTTGTATTTAAAAGTTCTTGTAAAACTTGTAGAACTTGCTTCCATAGTCTCATAGAAAGACACACATCTGCTAGCTAACATAGTTTTTACATGTAAACATTGTGAAATACTTTCAATCAAGTACCTATGCGTATCTCTAGGTACATTAAAAAGAATTCTAATAAAAGCATGTGTCTGTTTTTGTTGTGATTTTGCTTTTCTTGATTTCTAGAAAATTGTAAATACAGTGGTCACAACAAAGCAGTGGAATGATTGTAGGCTTTATTCTGGAGATTTTGATCTGATATTGTTGAAATTGATTTATTTCTGAAAATGTTCAATGCGCATTCTCAAAGATTAATTAATTACCCTTTTAGTTTAAAGGAAGAACGAAGATGACAAAATTTCATCGTTTTTTGGCTATACCACTGTTTAAGAAATAAAAAAAAAATAAAAAAGGCAGATTTTTAATGAATTTTCATTAAGGATATCCCGAGTTCTCAGTGCAGTATCTTCATGACTCAGCTAGGTATTCTATGACAAAACAAGATGATAAAAATTAGAAATTTGGAAAAATAAAATATCATTTTATTTTGACTATGCGAATATGATGCAATAAAAACAAAACATATATTTTTATATATGTTTAAATGAGGATTGAAAAAAAAACGGTTTTTCGTGTAAAAGAACTGAATTCTTGCCCCAATCTCAAACTGATATTTAAAATTTACCGCATATTTGATCTAACATAATTCAACTTCAAAAATATCTTCTTATCTTCTTATGCCAAAGTTTTATGGGCCACACTCAAGGAGTATGGAATGGAAGGGAGATACACCTGACGGGGCCCGCCCTACCATATGATTTTAAATGCTTTGTATAAGAAATATTTAGAATAGGTTGTGTATACCCGGTAATACGTCAAACTAAAGTAAATTGTACAATAGATTGAAATCTAACATGTTGTTAATCACAGCTCTTTGCACCCTGCGCTAAAACAGCATTATCTTTCGGTCAGGCAGAATAGGTGGGAGGAAATCCTGCCAGTACTAGTACAAAGTCATTTTCCGTTAGCTTGGCCTAGCGACCAAGTATTTAATTGTATTAAAGAGCTACTGGGAAGAGTAAATATGTTAGGTAAAGGAATTGACTCTTTGCCACAAACTCTGATTTTCTAATCCCAATATCTTTGGAGCCCAATGTCGTAAACCTTTGATATTTCAAACTTATATTTTTTGATCTAACAAAAGTCATAATTTGAAATTTCAAAGGTTTACGACGTTGGAATCCAAAGATATAGGGATTAGAATATCAGAGTTTGTTGCAAAGAGTCAATTCCTTTGCGTTTAGCCATAGAGAATAGAATATATAGAGAGGAATTTACTAGAAAAAAGTGTAAAACGGCTATTTTGTTGTACTGTTTCCATACTGCAGGTGATGAAATGGATAGTCTAAGGAACATGTTGTATTAATGTACTCTACTGCATATAATTTGTGAACATTTACATGATTTGTACACTTTGAACTCCCTTTCAGGCTGAAAGGGACTAAAAAAATTCATACCGAGAGATTCTTTTAATTCCTCTCTATATATTCTATTCTCTATGCGTTTAGCATACTTGTGCGTAAAATCAAAACTAGGGACAGTATTTTTACCTTCCCGCTTCATTTGAAGTGTGCAATCAATATATTTTAGTAGGCCTGACGCCCTGCAGACAGCACTACAAAGTGCGGAGGTGGATAGGTTGGGGGAAAACCTTGGAGAGACGGGAAGGGAGCAGGTACTGGACAAGAATAACTTTGTTGAACCGTACACACGGCTGATATTGAACCCGGCTCCACCATGTTTAATCTGTTTGGATCTATGTGATCCTAACCTCGGGATTGATCTAACTTTTAATCCAAATAAAACGAAATATTTGCGGTGAAATGGTGAGAATTTGCCCATTCTAAGATCGGCATTAATTCGAGAAATAGCATTTTCGCACTGTCGCTAAAATTTACAAATTCTTTAAAATTATTAACAAATTTGGATAAGATTTGCCAAAGATTTTTTCTTTCCAAATTCAAAGCTGTTATTAATTCCAAAAAACTTATAGATTTTCACAATTTTTAAAAACTTTAGGATGGCCTTGGATTGCATCTTCTTCAAACCAGACATCTGGATGGATATGAGAGAGGGTACTCCAGGTACAAAATTACAAGGGGGATTTAAGGCGGGATGACCCCATCCCCTTGTTTGAAAAACTTCCCCAAAATTTACTCATTGTTGTTTTGAAAGAGCAAACTTATTTAGTTTAATAGTTTAATGATGTAAAAACTTTAAATATCATTATCTGAAGAAAATGATTGAATGAAGTCTTATTCTTCGTGGGAATATAATATACTAGGCTTTAAGGGCGCTTCGCGGCGCCCATCTTCTATTTCAATTGTGAACGTGTTCTCGTTGTAAACATTGAAAAACAAAAAAATTTCGCGGATTTTCAAGATTTAAAAAATTTTACAATAATAAAAAACTTTTAAACACAAATTTTTCAAATTTTGATTATTCATGAACCTTCCCAGGGGTCACGTTAGGTCCCACACATAATTTGGGCCCGATCGGTTCAGCCGTTTTGACGTTTATTGGATTCAAACGGACAGACAGACAAGCTAAATTTATATATAGATAGATAGATACACTAGAGTCCAGTCAGTCTAAACTTTAAGCCCCACTTATTTATCCATAAAAAGTATATTTTTTGTATTTTTTTGAATTTTTGACAGATTTTCGAATGAAAGATCAAAATCTAACTGACAATATTCTGATACAAAATTCGTTGTTCAGGGATGGATATGAACGTGAACTAGTTCCTGGGTTTGATGATTCCCACGCTATTCAGGATCCATATTTTACTGTAAAGGATGCTAGCAGAGAGTCCCCCATGTACACAACACTAGGGAACACAGCTGTTTAACAAACTATAACTAACATCTATCTATAAGGTTGAAACTTTTAATGCCCGATTCACAACGGTACCATTGAACCCCATAATTTGGAAGAACGTGTCATTTTTCTAGTTTTAATTCTGACAATTCCTTCATGTTTTGATCCGACTAAGTTTTCACGGTTACCGTTGCCATCTTTGCAGGGAGTTTGACTTGAAATTACGCTTACAGTTACTTGTTAGAGATTGTAAATTATGTAACTCATACTAACTCATACTAACAAAATGGCGACTTTGATTCACAATTGTACACATCAAACTTTCATCCGACCAATCAATAGGAAATGATCGTAGTTTTTTTTCTTAGCTTATATAAAAGTTTCGCACTCTCATTTTGTTGTCTTTTCATATACAGGGTGTCCCAAGAAACATATAACAGTAACCGAAATTTGTGTGGTTCTGTAGTATATACACAGAGTAACCCTAGTCCTGACATTTGCATAATGTGCTCTGTCTTTTCTATGCTTTCAATATTACCGCAGCTCTGATCAATTTTGTTCAGATTTTGTCAGTTCTGAATGGAATTCTTAATATCTCCGGTAATATTGACAGCACAAAAAAGGCAAAACACATTTTGGAAATGCCAGGGCTAGGCAAATTCTTCAAATATTTAAGACGAGCTTTAGAACGTCTTGCTACCATAAAGTTTCATGGGACACCATGTATCTGGTATGAGATAATTCAAAATGATATAAATACTGTTGTTCTTTAGAACCAGCTGGTGGAGTTTACGATAATAAAGCACATTCTCCTAGATATGAAGAATACACACCTCCACCATCCTACCATCTATATAGTAGGTAAACATTCTCCTAGATATGAAGAATACACACCTCCACCATCCTACCATCTATATAGTAGGTTTAAAATCATCAAGTTCAAACTATAATATATTACTTTTATTACTTTACTCTACTTTTCTTTTTTATTTATAACTATAAATACTCTACCCTAGTTTGCAATCTTTTAACAGGAGTTTGCAAAAGAAATGTCTATGATTTGCCAATTTAAAATAAAAGCCTGAGAGTTTACNAAAAAAAAAAAAAGTGTTACAAGTTTTGAAGATAAAGTATATGCTGAAAGAGTTACTATTCAAATTAGTTAAACATCTATTTTTTTATCAACATTAATTATTTCAAAATTCAATCGATTACTAATATTTGTTTAGAAAACCATTTGAATCCCTCTACCCTGAACCTTGGAGCACAGGAGCCGGACCGTACGAAACATTTCCACATCAACATGGTAATAAAGGGACTGGGCACGTTTTTTCAACCCTGATCCTTCATGTAAAGCGAGGAATGTCAGATTTTTAACCGTACCTTCAGACGCTTTAGCTGATCAAAATTGAATAAGATATCCTTTTTTTCTCACTGAAGATTGATAATCTTAATTATGGGTTCTCTGGGTGTTTCATGGATTTCTGCTTAATAAACAATGGAGGAAATTGCCAAAATTTCACATTCTAAAAGCTACTATATTTCCATTTTATTGATTAGACAAATGTAATTGGGTCTGTCCCCCTTTAATCAAAGTGTCAATTGAAATTACTTTGACAGTCCCTTTAAATAGTCCAACATAAACATTTATTTTGTATTTAATGATAACAGCAAAATTGCAAAAGTAACCTAGATAAAACTAATCATTTGTAAAATTAACTAAAATAAATAATATTTTTATCCCCAAGGGTGAATAGCATCCTATTATTGTGTTTGACCTTCATAAAAATGAAAATATGAAATGTATGTATTTCATAATTTTCTTTCACTAATCTTTCCCGATTAGCTGGATATATTGCTATAAAAATATTAACAAATTGGCTTTTCAACCCTTACATTAGTTTGACATTAAACATTTTAATAGGTTTGATATTAAACATTTTACTAGGTTTGACATTAAACATTTTACTAAATTTGACATTAAACATTTTACTAGGTTTGACATTAAACATTTTACTAGGTTTGACATTAAACATTTTACTAGGTTTGACATTAAACATTTTACTAGGTTTGTCATTAAACATTTTACTAGGTTTGACAATTAAACATTTTACTAGGTTTGACATTAAACATTTTACTATGTTTGACATTAAACATTTTACTAGGTTTGACAATTAATTATTTTACTAGGTTTGACAATTAACATTTTATTAGGAATTTGACATTAAACATTTTACTAGGTTTGACAATTAACATTTTATTAGGAATTTAACATTAAACATTTTTCTAGGTTTGTCTTCAGCTGTTGTGGAAAATAGTGATTTGTTCAGCAAAAACCTTGGTAAGCCAGATAAAAAAATTGACACAGTTTTTATATCGATTTCTCGAGATAAGAACATCAGATATAACTTTCAATGGTCGCGATCAAGAGCTAAAGTGATTAGCTTTCAGCCTATATCCCCTTTCATTCTTCTTTTAAAGTCCCTTTAACCATGGGTTCCCGCGACCCATTTTGCCTAAAAAACATTCCTCATTGCGCTCTGGATGATTTGTAGGCAAAATTGGTCTTTCTTGGGAACCTATGGTAAAGTAAAATTTCTTAACTTCCCTGTAAAGTAAATAATTAAAACATTTTAAGCAGAATTTATAGGTAATCATTTTGTCTTCACTCTTATCTTGTCTGCACCATGCTCTTGGAGCAACTTATCTTGTCTGCACCATGCTCTTGGAGCAACTTATCTTGTCTGCACCATGCTCTTGGAGCAACTTATCTTGTCTGCACCATGCTCTTGGAGCAACTTATCTTGTCTGCACCATGCTCTTGGAGCAACTTATCTTGTCTGCACCATGCTCTTGGAGCAACTTATCTTGTCTGCACCATGCTCTTGGAGCAACTTATCTTGTCTGCACCATGCTCTTGGAGCAACTTATCTTGTCTGCACCATGCTCTTGGAGCAACTTATCTTGTCTGCACCATGCTCTTGGAGCAACTTATCTTGTCTGCACCATGCTCTTGGAGCAACTTATCTTGTCTGCACCATGCTCTTGGAGCAACTTATCTTGTCTGCACCATGCTCTTGGAGCAACTTATCTTGTCTGCACCATGCTCTTGGAGCAACTTATCTTGTCTGCACCATGCTCTTGGAGCAACTTATCTTGTCTGCACCATGCTCTTGGAGCAACTTATCTTGTCTGCACCATGCTCTTGGAGCAACTTATCTTGTCTGCACCATGCTCTTGGAGCAACTTATCTTGTCTGCACCATGCTCTTGGAGCAACTTATCTTGTCTGCACCATGCNAGCTGCCAACTCCTGCCCAACCTCAGCATACCTTCCACAGGAGCCACAGGTAACGCTCTATTATTATGTACCATCAGCTGCCAACTCCTGCCCAACCTCAGCATACCTTCCACAGGAGCCACAGGTAACGCTCTATTTTGTATAGAACGATGGACATCGTTATTGTGAACAAACAAAATTTTTCGTAAACAATGATGCCGTTACAACAAAATGGACAATTGACAAACTTTTCAAACTAAGCGTAAAATAAAGGAATTTTTCACAACCAACAAAAAAAACACGAAATATTTAAAATCTTTTAGCCCTACTTAAACAAACGCTCGTGTTTTACTAATCAAACAATTTTTGAAATAATTTAAAGAAACGAGAGTATTTTAACCAAACAAACGATCTTACTGAGCAATGAGAAAACGTACGAAATAGATAAAAAATGAACAATATTTTTGAAAACGAACGAAATCAATTAACTTCTGTCGCAATTACTAATTTGCATTAAAACATTTTTCTTCATATTCAAACCCTAATTCAGGAAGGTGGTGTATACCAAGAATCAGAAACCTTCTCTCCCTCTACCAGCCTATGCAAGAACTGTGGTATCCAACTTACCACTAAATCCTGGACCAGGGATAAAAAATATAGAGATTAGAAACTCAGAGTTTGTGGCAAAAACTCAATTCCTTTTGTATGGGACCTCCCATGATCCCAGGGAAGGTTTATGGATGCTCAGATTAACAAAAATTTGTATTGACAGCTTCTCTTAGTTTAAATGCACTTTTAACTTAAATAAAGCTTGTTACAAATCAAAACTTTTAAAAAAGTCGTCTTCATTGTATTGATATAAACGCCGACACCTATACAGTGATAAACAGAAAGACCCAGAATTAATTTATAATTAATCAGACGACTTTACAATCGAATTTTACAAATATGATTGATGAATCAATTATGATAAAATAGCCCTAGTCCTGCCATTTTCAAAATGTGGTCTGTCTTTATTCTATGTTTAAAATTACCAGAAATTTATATGGAAAGTTGTCTGATAAACTTTGAATAAATTCTGGATTTTTCTGGTTATAACTGTAGATTAATTTATAGCAAGATGAATGGCATTCGACCTTCAGCCTCTTCAGCAGGAAACAGAACACCTCCAGACAAACCAAAACTCTCCCAAAACTCTTCTGGGGTAAGCACGCTAGCTGAAGTGCACGGCATGGCACTTGAAATAGAAAAAAAATCAGAAAAAATTGAGTTTTGAAAGAAAAAAAATATAATTTAAAAAAAAATTATTTTAGAAAACGAAATTTCCTTTTTTAAAAATTTGGTTTAAAAAAAAACTTTTAGACAATGTCACTCCTAGCGTACCCGGGTTCCCTCAAAATTTTTTAGCAAATTTGGCCGGCAGTTTCGACATGAGAGGAGGAGGGTGTTTTTGACAAATATTTTAGAATAATGAATCAATTTACCATTTTATCTTTAAATGTGTAACTTTACAACTCTGGACTGCGACCAAGGTAATTGAATACTGGGTTTAATCACATGTTTCGGTTCAAGTCCCTGTTTCGGTTGCGTTTGTTTATAAACAACCAATATACTATTGTACTACCGAAAATGAGTTCAATGTATATTACGGAATTTGGTTTATTCTGAGTACACAATTCTCTTATGGACTTACCTTACCTTGGGTTAATGGCTAATGTTGGGTCACGGGTACGTTCCGACTTTTATCTGAGAACTGAAACTTTCCGTTCGGATCAATTTTATTGACGCCGTTGACGGAAGATATTACATATAAATCGTTAACAGGCACAGCTGGAACAATTTGAGGACAAACTTTTTTAAAAACGTCAAATACATCAAATTAATTTGTTATTTTCTTTAATTTTAAAAATCAACAAAAGTCGCCGTTATTTTGAAGTTTTTTAAAACCGCTCATTTTTTTCAACAATGGCTATTTTAACGGTTTTTGCTATACTTTTTCTGTTGATTTTTAAAAACTTGCCGTTTATTAACGAAACGTTTCCCAGCCCTATGTACGTCTGTCAAAATCATTTTAACTGAAACTCTAAATGTAATCTTTTGTGCAGGCAGTTAACCGTAGAACTGGTTTAAGCTGTGCTAACTGCCAGACCAACACTACTACTCTGTGGCGGCGGAACTGCTCAGGAGAACCAGTTTGCAATGCATGCGGTCTATACTTTAAACTTCATCGTGTAAGTAAATAAACAATACCACCATTCCCTAAGGACAATTTACATAAGTAAATAAATAAAGTCCAACTAACCACCGAAGACTATAATTGTTTAGCCCACAGCAATTCCTTAACAACTAGGAAAGTAAAAAAAAAATATGCACGACATTTTATGACATTTTATTTTTAAAAGTTTTACAAACACAAGCTCAAAAGATGCATAATCTGAACTAGAAGGATTATAGTAAAGTGTTTACTTATTATACCAGTCCGTCTAAAGCAGCGCAAAAGTCTTGCATTGGTTAGTGGTTAGCCCTTCAATCCTACAAAATGAATTTTGACCCCTGTTGTATGTTTATCTATTGATGAGGCTGTGTACCGTAAAGCTGAAAGCTGGGCTGTTACAATTGGGGTTGGAAATAATTAAGTTTGTGAACGACCCATTTTGTTCCTTTTTTTCAATTGTTCAAAAAAAATATTTCGTTCGTTCGTTTTCTCACTGAACGATTGTTCAGTAGAATCGTTCTTATAGTAAACTTGTTTGTTTAGTAAAATCATTTGTTCAATAAAACTTGTGTGTTCAGTAAAAAAGCTAATGTTTCGTTCGAACAATTTAAAATCATTTGTTTTTGCTTTTTATTGTTCGTTTTTAAGAAATAATCATTTTCATTTCTCTGAACGATCCAGTTTCTTTGTTCAACGTTCGTTTTTTTGTAAACAACACCCTTTTCCACGATTAATTGAGTTCGTTCTCAAAAGTTTCTCTCGTTCTTAAAAACGATGTCCATCTCTACAAGAGCTTGGTCAACTACAAATTCAATTTTAGCTAATCTTGAACCGATTAGCAAAGTAAATTTTTTAAAGGAAATGATTTTTTGCCACAAACTCTAAAGCTGTTTCCCCCCTATATCTTAGCAACCTGGTGTTGTAGACATTTGATATTTCAAACTATGAATTCTGTTAGATCAAATAGTCTGATTTTAAAATATCATCGGTTTACACCATCTAGTTGCAAAGATATAGTGATTTGAGTTTGTGGCAAAAACTCCATTTCTTTAGATTTAAGTATCACATGCTTATTTGACTTCTTAATACCAAGAAAAAACTTCTCATTTAGAAAAAACCTCATGAAAATTCTTTTCTAAAACAAATCATTTTGATGTTTCTGTTCAGATAAATCGTCCACCATCTAAGAAGAACGAAGGTATTCGTTCAAGGAAAAGAAAACCTAAAAATCCAAACAATGTTAAGGTTAGAATAAGATATATAAAAAATATGTAATAATAACATACAGGGTGTCCAATGTACATTATATACAGGGTTTCTTACTTTGCTCAATCATTAAACACGCCATTCAATTAGACTATACAATTTAATATAACTCTGGGATTGTTTTATTTTAAGAGTTTCAGTTCGTCCTCACATTTTCTTCTTTTGTGAGTAACACTGCCATACATAAATGATCTCTGACAGCTACAGGGTGTCCCACGAAACCTGACAGTTGGTGAATAGTTTTAATTGTCTTCTTACACATACTGTATTAGATATTAAAGCCTTTTTGCAGTTTATTTCTTTTTAAAAAATGTTTAAATCATATATATTTTACTGTGAAATCAATTTTATAATGATAAATACATCAAACAACTTATCAAATTATGGAAGAAGACATTTTAAACTATTCACAAACTGTCATGTTTCGTGAGACACCCTATATCAAGGACACAAGGTTTGTATAAAAAATATATTCAAACATAATATTCACGTTGCCTTGCAATACTGTAAACAAAACGTTCAAACGTTTAATTATGTATTTGCCAAAAAGCAAAAAGGGCATTTTTTTTCTCAAAGAAACGAGTGTTTGACACAAACATCTGATTTTCTAATTCCTATATCTGTACTACACAATTTCGTAGACTAGATATTTCAAACTATGAGTTCTGTTAGATCAAATATTCTAAATTTGAACTATCAAAGTTTTACATCATCATGTTGTAAAGATATAGGGATTAGAAGAGATGAGCTTGTGTTAAAGGCTCTATTCCTTTGTACAGAATAAAATAAACTTATTTTGAAATTTTAATATTTATTTATTTCAAAGAGTGTAAGTTTAACAGTTAAGGTTCAATATGTTGCCAACATACAAATGAATGATAGATGTTCTAATATTATGTTTAGGAGCCTAGAAGGCATAAAACCTCCACAAAGCCAGCCAGCGTTGTTAATATGGAGAGAGAAATGGGTAAACCAAAAATATTTTAGCTTTATCCTTATTATTTTTATTGGTCTTGATCAATCTTTGAAAATTACAGGGTTAGTCTTATTTTGAAGGAAAAGATGTTTTTCAGTGATAGAAATAATTTAAATACACATTTTTGCTTTTCTGAACTTTTGATTTTGAGAGAAAAAAGATTCGCGGATCTTTTTTATGGCCATAGGAGTAGCAAAAAAAAAATAAAAATGTCCAAAAAATATTGAAAAAATACCATCTAGGAGAGTTGCACAAAAAAGGTACAATTTTTCATCAGGCGCCGCCAATCACATTTTTTTTGACTCACCCTGTAGTTTAAAAACTTTGATTTCCTTAATCAAGTTTATTTCAAATATTTTAATTATCACTGCAGTAAACTTTTTAATGATTCTCATTTCTCATACAACTAAAATACAAAAGGATTTCTTGAAATTTTAGGAAAAATTTTGAATCTATGTCTTTGATGTTTTTTCTTTTTGCGCTTAAAAATCAAAAATTTGTAACTGAAATATTTTTCCGACAAAACGAGTTATAGGATTTTCTTATTCAAAGGGACTGTTTGCAAAAAATTTAAGAGGGTATGAGAATGGTGGAGATTTTCTCAAAATTATATTTACCTATTTATCGGTTAGAAATAGGGCAGATCCGTGTGTAACGTAACTATAGTTCCTCTTTTTTATATTAAGCGAAAACTCCCTTTATCTTTAGTTTAAATTATTTTGATCTTTTAGTTTAAAAACTTTTATTGCAGAGAAGATGAAAGGCTCCAGGTTGGAAGGTAAGACTAAACCCATCTCTTCAACAGAATTAAGTTTTCAAGTCAAATTTTAAAATTCAAAAACTTTTGCAAAACCGATTCTTTTGACTAAATGGGGGTTTTTAAGTGTTGATTTTACTATTTTTTTTGTATTTAGAGACACGAGTAAAGATTGAGATCGGAGATAGAAATATTTATTTAACACCTAAACTAGGAGAGAATCTGGACCCACAGGTAACACAAAAAATCTGAAAAATTCTAAATAATCATTTTTGAAATATATGAAGATAAACACTTTGAATGGAGTATGAATCTGCATATTCAGAAATTTTAGATAACATTTAGATAATTCAGACATAATGGGATGCTTATTACAAGGTTTCAAAAACCTCTCGAAATTTTAGATAAAATGATTTCTATTATAAGGGAATGTGAAAGTCCAATGAAAGGGGGTATAGGCTGAAACCTAAAAATGTTTGAAGCTGATCGCGACCAATATTAGTTCTATGTCCTTGTCTCGAAAAAACTGTGTCAAAGTATTATAGATATATAAGTTTTGGTATAACTTTGCCAGAGTTTTATACCAATTTCTCGAGACAAGGACATCAGATAGAAATAATATTAGTCGCGATCAACTCCTAAATTTGTTAGGCCTCAGCCTATACCTCCTTTAATTTTACCTTAACAGTCCCTTTAAGGAGATAGTGTTGAATTCTGGAAAGCAGTCTGGATATTCAATCAAAACTAATGATTATATATTAGCAGGTTAAATTCTTATAAATTTGAAGTAAAAAAAGTATATAACTAAGAAAAACATTAAAGAAACCAGTAGACCAGTAGACCTGTATACCAGTAGACCAGTAGATCAGTAGACCAGTAGACCAGTAGACCTGTAGACCTGTAGACCAGTAGACCAGTAGACCAGTAGGCCAGTAGACCAGTAGACCAGTAGACCTGTAGACCAGTAGACCAATAGACCAATAGACCAGTAGACCTGTAGACCAGTAGACCAGTAGACCAGTAGACCAGTAGACCAGTAGACCAGTGGACCAGTAAACCAGTAGACCAGTAGATCAGTAGACCAGTAGACTAGTAGACGAGTTGACCAGTTGACCAGTAGACCAGTAGACCAGTAGACCAGTAGACCAGTAGACCAGTAGACTAGTAGACCAGTAGACCAGTAGACCAGTAGACTAGTAGACCAGTAGACCAGTAGACCAGTAGACGTAATTATTCACACTGAGACAAAGGACTTCGAGTTTAATGAATTTGAGGGATCGCTGAACCGCCTACCGCCGATTAAAGTTTGAGTTACCGATTCAAATCCTTCCAGAATCTTTAACATAAATTGGTGGTTTAAATTTGAACCGGTATTGCTTAGTATTAGACGGTTCTTCGACCTACCCGATATTCATTAAATTTGGTCCAAGAAGAGAAAATAAGAAAAATCAATCAATCTTTACAAGACAGACAAATTTTATTTTCGTCATAGTTTAACTTAAAAAGGGGTAAAGGGTACCATTGTGAATCCGGCATTTAATCATAAGGGTCAATCGATATTACTCTTTTATATATTCTATTATTCTAGGAAAGGTTCTAGACTACACAGACATGAAAGCTCATGAATTTTCACAGGTTGATATTATTCATTTTACCATCGAAACTAAATCTGTTAAATATATATATATATAAGCACATGCTTGGGAACCCATCGTTGCCCAGGGTAGTCATAGTTAGTTTCACTTTTTACCCGTGATTTGTCGTAAAGCTATGTTTCCCTATAAAAGTGGTTTCACTTAACTTAAAAACCTTTAGCTCATCGAAGAACATTCACGTAGTTTTCTCGAGTTCCCCAATCAACATTTGAGGTAAATCGGTCAAGGGGTTCATGAGTTATGATCTGACAAAAAAACCAGACGAACAGGGATTACAACTTATAGATATATATATATATATAGATATATATATATATATATATATATATAAAGATTTGTAAAGTACGTGCAGGCCAATGTTAATCTACAAAATCGTTAAAACGATTTCAAACAATTTTAATTTTAATACATATTACATTTTTTTTATATGGCCATTTTTATTTCAGCCCGTGGACTATGTCATGGCTCCTGGGAAAGGGTACCTAGATGACGGAAACGGGCTCATCAATGGGTAGGTTTAATAACAAATAAATGGGTATGTTTTATAACGAATAATTATGGGTAGGTTTAATAACACATAAATGGGTAGGTTTAATAACACATAAATGAGTAGGTTTAATTACAAATAAATGGGTAGGTTTAGTAACACATAAATGGGTAGGTTTTATAACGAATAATTATGGGTAGGTTTGATAACTTATAAATGGGTAGGCTTAGTAACAGATAAATGGGTAGGTTTAGTAACAGATAAATGGGTAGGTTTAATATCAAATCCTACGATATTTCGGACCTACCCCAACATCGATCATACGACAGCTGTATGTCAGATGTACATTCTTGTTTGTTAATCCGACCCAACTGCAGATATTGTCAGTAGACTGTGCTACCATAAGGATCTCGCTGTTTTCGCTGCACACAAATTTATAAGTCGGATGCACACACTTTTTGTAGGTCGTATGTATACTTTTTGTAGGTCGAATGCACACTTTTTGTAGGTCGGACGCAAACTTTTTGTAGGTCGGATGCACAACTTTTGTAGGTCAGATGCACACATTTTTTAGGTCGGATGAACAGTTTTGTAGGTCGGATAAACACTTTTTGCAGGTCGGATGCACAACTTATATAGATAGTATGAACACATTTTGTATGTCGGATGAAACACTTTTTGTACAAAAGGTCTCCATCTAACCTACAGTTAAGTGTGCAACCGACCTACGGTAGGTCGGATACACACAATTAAAAAAGAATAAGATTATCAACAAAACACTTGTTCAGGATTGATCCCTTGATGTCTCGTGTTCGTGGTTTAATGGGCGGAGAATCCTATTTCAGGGAGGTGGAACCCTATGAGGCAGATGTTTACTCCGCCAGATTACACCAAAGGTAAAAACTTTTGTTTATCACTGATCATAAGTACGATTTTTTCGACAAAAACTTTTGAAAAAACGATTGTTTTGTATAACGAACAATTTTATTGAACAAACGATTTTTCTGAACGATTGTTCTGTGAGAATATGAACGATAATTTTGAAAACAAACGTTTTCAATTATTTGATTGAAAAAAAACGAACGAATTTGGCCGTGTATGAACGATTAGGGATGTTAACGTTTTCATTTTTCAGAAAAACGATCGTTTCGTTATGATAACGACGACGAAAAATCGAAAACGAAACGATCGTTTTTAAAAACGATCGTTTTTTAAAAAGTTCGTTTTTTTAAAAATGGTCGTTTTTAAAACGATCGTTTTTCAAAACCTCGTTTTTAAAAACGATCGTTTTTAAAAACGATCGTTTTTATAAAATTCGTCGTTTTGTTAACGATCGTTAACGACTGACCTTCGTTAACGATCGTTAACGACGACCCTTCGTTAACGATCGTTAACATAATTGTCAATAAAAAAATTTCAAAAATGATCGTTTTTTCAAAAACGATCATTTTTTTAAAAACAATCGTATAAAAACGATCGCAAATCGTTTTAATAAAAACGATCGTTTTCAAAAACGATCGCTATTCGTTTTCTAAAAGTTCAAAACGAGTGGGTCGTTTTTAAAAACGATCGTTTTTTTCTGAAAACGAAACGATCGTTTTTGAAAACGAAACAAAAAACGATCGTTTAACGATCTTTTACAAAAACGATTAACAACCCTATGAACGATGAACGAACGAAATGAAAAAGTCGAACGCTCCCATCTCTAATCATAACTCATAACGTGTTATGTGAGTTTGAAATATCGTCGAAATTCAGATGAAGTAAAAATTTAAAAAAAGTTTTAGATGCCAATTTCTATAGTTTGGTAAGTTGTCTGACATCAAATGGCACTTTAAATATAAACTAGGCTTTCATGGCTCTTCTAGATTATCTTAAACATATTTGACTCCGCGTAGAGGTTTTTTTACACTCCTCCTAGAATCTGAAGTACATTTGTTAAGTAAATAAAGACATTGGGGACTGGGGTTCCTTAAATGTATCTTCCTTGAAATATGTTTTTTCTAGAACTCCCCCATTGGAAGCCTATGAGAGTATGCAGGTTCACTATGCATCATCAGCTGGTCCACACCAAACCGGGTTTTCTCCATCAGCCTACTCGCCAGCCGGTCATCCCAACTCCTACTCCCCTTCTGCTCATCCTGCAGCATACTCGCCAGCTGGTCAGCATTATCCCATCTCTTATTCTCCTAATTCTAGTCATCAAACTTCATTTTCTCCACCCGCATCCACCCCTTTACTCCATTCTAGCCCCTCCTCAAACCCTCTGCTCCATTCTCCCCCGTCCTCCACCCCCTTACTCCATTCTCCGAGTAAATCAGGAACACCTTTACTCAGTCAATATCCAATCAGGTAAATCAAGCTTGGGACGGTTCAGGTTTTGACTATATGGGCAACCATTAATTTTTTTTTGCTTTGAATAATTATCAATTTTTAATTGAGTTATAATTTTAAAAAAAATGCCTATGAAAATAATTTTTTTATTAACAGAAAGAGATTTTTCAGATGTTTGTGTATAGTGCAGTTAGTTTACTATTGCAGTTTATTTTCCTAATTACACATTCCGAATGTTAGTTTTTGGTCGGCTTATGTTGGGCCGTTTTTTGAGATGAATATTCTGTGAAAAAAGAAAACTAAAATCTGTACAGCAAGAAAGCTCGATCTTTAACAAAATGTTAATAAATGTCGGGTTTTTAGAGAAGAAAAAAACACATCAAAAACTGAATTTTCTAATTATAATTTTCTAATTTAGGAACTCCAGCTCCCATCACCCGGGATCCAGAATTTCGCCATAACAATGTTGTTTTAGACATTTTTTACAAGCATTTACGTTTATTTATACAGAAAACCACAGAAAACTGTGTAATGGAAAGACGACATATAAACAATCTTTGTATATTTGATGTTGTTATAAAGTTTTACCAATTCAAATTACAATGTAAGTATTGATCTTCAAGTTCATCGGACTGTTTATAGTCATAACTCTGGTCGTCTTTTTATTTCACAGTTTTCACACTATAAAAAACCATTACTTTACTCATTATATAAATATGAAAAGATAAGAATTAACTTAAAAATACCTTTTAAAGTGAGTTTGATAAATCTTAATAGATAAGTTTTAAAAATATCAAAAAAATTTTATTTTTTATTTTAAACAAGTTACATTGCTATAGTGGAATATTTAAAGCTTTTTTGGAGCAAAGCATAAATTTTGAAAACTCTTTTTTTTAGTTTCAGATGGTTTTTTAGATAAAAAATGTTTAAATCTAAAATTTCAACACTGATTTAATTAGTATCATTGTCCTGAACGTACGTATTACGCTCGTCTTTGACTTGGGTCTCATTTTCCTAATTTACAAAAAAGCTCAAAAATAAAAACAATTATTTTAAAATTATTTTTCATTAAATGATAAATGCAATCAAAAAGTCGACTGTACAGTGTATAGTGCACATATCTAGAAATATCGATTTTTTAAGTCATAAAGTATCGAATTTAAACTATTTTCAAGGCATTTTAAAAAAGGTTAGACTGAGCCCAAAAATCTTTGGAAATATATCAGGATCGCCAGGGCATTTAGTGACAGTTACCATAGACTGAACTGATTAATCAATAATGTGAAAAGACATGATTTCTCTAACTTTGTAACAAATATAGTCAATTTGTCATGTACAATTACAGTTTACGTAGATAAGACAACATTCTGATTAACTTAAATAACTTTTAAAATATCGTCTTTGTACACTACATTTGTTTTCGGAACAATATTTCAACTTAACAATTACAAACCCAAACTTCTTGTCTTGCAATTTCCAGAGACTGATCTGCCAAATTTGTTTTCTTTAAAATTGTTATTTATTTTAAACTTTAAAACTTTTTTTAATAGTTACTTAATATTTATTTAATAAACTTTTTGGCATTTTTTGATAATTCAAATGTTGTAAAATTGAATTATTGAATTGTTAAAAAATACGGTTTATGTTTTGTCTATGTAAAGTATGCCGATTATCAAGGATATTTAAACTTTGTGTAAAAATACAGTAGTCGACGTGTATATCAATATAATGAAGACGACTTTTCTATTTAAGTTTTATTTCTTAAAGTTTACAAGTAAACAAAAAAAGCTATTAATTGACAGCGTCTCTTTGTTTCCATATTTATTTGCACTTATGATGTTTAAAAGTTTGGTAGAAATCAAAATAGAAAGTCGTCTTCATTGTATTAATATATACGACGACGACTTTTTCTGTAAATTTGTCACCCAATGCAGCTGGATTAAAAAAATTCAAATTTTTTTTAACAATTATGTATTGTTAATGTGTTACAACTATCATAGTGAGAAATAAAGATTAACTTCAAAGTAGTCTAATTTTTTTCACATCTATAAACATTTGTCTTCTGAGATTTCAACATTAGAGTTATAATAGCTCGGCAAGCTCAAAATACTTGATTTTATTATTGCATGCCTGAATAAGTCTATTTGGCAGGATTTTGTCTAATTTCTCTAAAAAAAACATTTTCAGACAGTTCCTATAGGCATTTAGGAAGTTGACTTGGGCCTTTGATTTTTTTGTTACAAAATGTCTCAGGAAAAAATGGCAAAATTACTATTAAGATAAAGATAGCAAAAAAGGGAGAAAGCTAAATATGGTCTTTCAGCTAAACTAACGTTTGACCTAAAACTTGAAATTTCACTTGATTTCTATGAGTTCTCAAAATTGGATTTACTCTATAATTTCTGGTATTAACATACAGGGTGTCCCAAAAAACAAGGGAATTCAGTGACGAATCTATATCGTCTTTGTTTTAGCATTGTAATACCTGATTTAAAAACCATAATATTATTATTATGTCTGCTAGAGTTTATTTTATGAAAACGGTAAATGGCTGTAAAGATGTGAAGACGGACAAGTTTACTCTGTTAAATTTTCTTGTTTTACTAAATACAAACATAAGCAGTCAAAACATAAACAAACAAATTGTAAACGTAGCAGACGAAATTCCTACAGATTACAGCTTTCTCAGTAGGGATCACTATGCTCAATCAAAGAATTATTTATAAAGACTATATCGAATTCGTCACTGAATTCCCATGTTTATTGGGACACCTTGTACAAAGATGCCTAAAGTAACTAAACTAAATTACCATGAAAAGGCTAAAAACCAAACAGATCTTGAAATTGATCCAAGTGCTGTAATATTTTATATAAAGAACCAATTCTCATTTGAATTGAATTAACCAGACAGCTGAATTTGTCGTTTAACAAGTTGACAATTTAAGTATGAATTAACTATAGCTTGTGAACCCAGCGTTACCCAGGGTAGTTATAGTTAGTCCCACCGTTTACCCGCGCTTTTTCGAAAATTACGATTTTAACTATTTTTCAGAGATTACTGTATTATATATAGATATATGATAAAACATTGCTCTCACTAAAAATGGTTGATTCTTTTGGTGAACCGTGTCCGTCCCGTATTAGCTTATATTCTGTAATAAATGTACTTTGTGTGAGGGAATCCCCGGCCGCCATGAGCCTATAGAAGAGTTAAACTGATCCTGGCCTCCCTAACGGTGATGATGATAGCCCGAAACATTACGAGCTATTCATGCCTCAGGGGAATATTGTTGTATTCTGGATTGTTCGGTATATGAGTGAACAGTCCCTTGAATCCAACAGGACGCCAGAGAGATCAGTACATCCCAGACCGCTGCAGAGTAGACACAAGTCTCCCTGCACATAGCCGTCCAGGGACCTGTGCTATATACAGTGCACAGACAGCATACAGAGAGAACCTTTCCTGACGAGAGATAAGAAGATGAACCGAGTTCCAGTCATCACGTGGAACCCTGCCTACCTAGAGGAACTGGAACCAGAGGGAGGAGTTGTTCCAGTATATCCTGATACCTTCATGAGCGGGAACTCTCAGATCATCACAGCTCCGGCCTCAGAGGATGGAGATGTAGTTGAGGAAGTTGTCGAGGACAACAAAGAGGAGCAGGATGATGAAGATCTACCCCAGTCGATGAAGGATATGTATGACTTCCTTGGTGAACTATCTGGGAAGATTCAAACCTTTAACAGCACCATGAAGAGGAGTACAAACCCTGGTCAGCCACCAGTGGTCCCTGATGAGGTCCCAACTTTAGATGATGAGGATGTGATTGAAGATGTCCCAGAGGATGCCGAAGAGGATACCAAGGAGGTACTCCAGGATGCAGTCCAGAGCCTATCAAGGTTGAACGATGGGCTCAGGAGTGTATTGTCCCTTAGCAGGGACACCAGCTCGTCACAGCATACTGATGTCCCCAGAGTTGATATCTGGGACACAGGGAAGGCTATAGAGCATGAGTTCAGGCTATTCCCCAACCCGACCAGGAAAGGGTTGAAGGACCGGCTTGAGAACCAAGTTTGGAACCTGCTTCAGCTCATACAGGAACGAGTTGATCAAGGAACCTACAATGATACAGATATGAGACTAGTAGATGGATTACATGTCATATCTGTCCTACACGCTAGACTCGGTGTCCTAACTAAACATAGAGCTAAGAGACCTTAAGACTACCAAGGGATCTAAAGCTAATGTTAAGCTATTATTATAATTATGTGATTTATGTATGCATTTATAAATGTATGATTGAAAGTATTAATAAATGTATTCATGATGTAAGAATGACTTTATTACTTGGGTGTTTAGATTTGCACGTGCATTCAGACATATAAGGCTATCTCTCTATATATGGAGATAGCTGAAGTATTGTAATGCCAGGTTGCAAAGATATAGATGGCGCATGAGGAGTTAGGCCGCCGAGATAGGACTAACCCGATCTGCAATGTCATCAGGTTTAACAAATGTAGATGAAACGAGTTAGAGTACTTGGGCAAAATCTCATTAAGTGTGAATTTTAAGATACCGATTTATTGCACGTTTTGTGGTTCAAGAATACCACAATTGGCGCAGTGAAAGGTGTTTCTTTATGCCTAATTTGGGTTTTATATGACTAAATCCGAATTTTTTTAATAAAGAACTTAAAATCAGAACCTACACCCCTCCTCCTTTTTGCACCCCCTCAATCTTTATATTTTTGAAAGTTTGGGGGATAGAAAGGCAATTAGACAGAGAGTTAAATAAAGTAATAAAACTTTCAAACATAAAGCTTGTTTGGGTTTGAGTTAGCCATAAATCCACTTCGTAACAGTTGGAAGATATTTTAAAATTCTGACTTTACAAATTGGGTAACGGACTCCAAACCCCCCCCCTTCCTCTCTTATAAATGAAATGTAGAAAATTGAAATTGAATACAACAGTTAAAATTAGAAAATTGTTGATTAGTTCAAGACTAAATTTTATCTGCATTCTTTACATTGCCATGTTAACAATTAATATGCTGAAAACGCGTTTTGAAATTCATAGAATGCGCTTAAGCAGAAATTAATTACATATTGTTAATTCTATATTACCGAATACATATGTAAAATGTATACAGTACATAGTACATAGTACATATCATGTAGTACATAGTACATAGTACATAGTATAATTCAGTTGTACTGGCAAAAGGAGATGCCCCCCCTAGGGGGATGGCAGGGGGATGAGCAATGCAATAAATTTTCATCAGTTAAGCTATATTGGATATTGAACCCTAAAACTGCTTGGCCTCAATGTTTGGAAATTTTAGCTGAATGACTATTGAAAACGTGCTAAATTTTAAAACAAAGAGCTGAGCTAAATCCATAGCCATAAATTATGGGGCCAGACTTAGCTTGGTATCGCACCCAAGGTTAGGAGGGTTAACACCCCCTTTTACCCTCCGGAAAATATGTGCAGAGCCGCGGGTGGAAACTGTACCAACCAATAGCGTACGGGAATACACCCGGCTCCGTCCGTAACAGAGGTGCATTATCTTTTCCACCAATAGGAACAAGATCTACACCCAGTACTGTTTGGACATAAAGCGCAATATTCAACCAAGGGTGGAGATAAGCACACCAGAAAAATGGGAAAGATTGCTCATTCTAATTCTAACCAGGAGAAGAAAAGGACTTCAGGTATACCCCGGACTTAAAATATTTAGACAGACGGACTGACAGTTAGTTACTCTGTAAGAATAGTTAAGTACCTATAGCGTAGGGTAGATAGAAGTCTCTAGACCACTCCATCCTAGA